ATGACTAAATTATAATACGTACCAAATATCATATTGACGATTGCTGTCAACGTGACAAGCATAATTGAAAAATATAAGTGCACGGTTGTCTTTCTCGTCGTCATGGTTTTAAGACCGAGGAAGAAATACCTAGTGCAGATAAGATCTCTTGGATACAGGAACTGAAAGGCTGGTTCAACCTTCTACGAAATGTAAAGTAAACGAAATACAAAGATGCTCTGTTTTTCACCTGAATCAATGCTTGCGGTATCTCTGACTTTCTCCAGGAAAGTTTGTGGCGGTATGTTGAAATCACGAATACCCGGATGCAGACGAGGTGGAAAATTTCCTGATGCTCTTGCACGCGATGACGTAATTTACAGAAAAAAGGATATTTTCAGATAATACGTGCAAGAGAATGTATGTATCTAAAAATACAGTCATTCATATTTGTAAGAAAGTTTGAATGTAATACCACAGTATTATACAAGTGTTAAGGAAATAAACTATTTTCAGATCAGAAATATTGTATTATAATAACAAAATTCTTTCCTCTCAACACAATTGTAATTGTGTTTCGCATATCGAGTCATCAATTTTCTAACTATGTAATCTCTATTGCTTTTGTAATAGTAATTACGTAACGAGTAAAATTAGGGAAGTTAGTACAATGAATGTCGGAAATAATTAGCAATTATCTTTTATCAGCCTCATTTACTGAAACGGCTGGCAGGCTTTATCCTTGAAATTTCAATGCACACAGACACGTTTAAAAGTTCTCTGTTTACAGCACAATGTATTGTAACACCTGGATCGTGACATACTCAAATAGTATACGTGATTGCTATGAACTCAAAGGGGATTCACTTTTTTACGAATCAGCATAATATATTCAAAATTAATTCAAAATAATTCCTTTCTGACAGTCCAAAAAATAGAGAAGTACGACTTCTTAAGTAAATTAAAATTTCGAAAAATATTAAATTTCTTTTGTATTCTACAAAGAGCTTAGAATTGGTGACATAAAAAAGAATTTTTAAGAATTTTGAAAGAACTGAGGTAGAAAATGAATTCATTTCATAATACGGGAATTAAAAAAAATTTCTCTGTGTTATCTGAATATCAATTGATTCGATTAAATATACAGCAGTTATAGAATATTGCAAAATCAACATGCGACACTTAATATTGGAAGATTCAAATAATCGACATTACATCAAAACATTAATTATTTTAATATTAATTTATATCTAACAATTTTTAATTCACGTTAACTTTTGAATTAAAATGTAATATACTAGTTAAATCTTTTACTTATAATAAAATGTGTACGTTATTAAGCAATACACTTTAACAATCTGTAACATTTGTATACCAAGATAGCGAGATATTTTAAGAATATTAATGTATTTCTTTATAATTAATTCGTATGTTTATATTTTAAAAAGTAACATGGAATTTATATATCGAAAATATATAAATACCTTCATTCACGTCGCTTGCATAGAATGATCAACGAGATATTTTCACTTGGTACCACGGGTATTCCACACCCAATCATACGTTACGGAAGACTGAGAAGAAAAGATTCGAGGACGATGTCGTAGCCCAGACCTCTCTAGGTCACTTTCTCCCCACCTTAGAAGTCAAGTCACTTTCTTCGGCAAGCCCACTGCTGATGGAATTTGATAAGCTACTGATTATAATGACAGTTTAACGGGATGGAAAATGAGATAAATAAATGCATTTTTTTTCTAATAAGGTATCACGAGAAATATTAACGATAGAGAATATAAGATTAGTTTGATTATTCACTTCCGCCTAACGTTTACTTCAACAAGAGGCACGGCAACAAATATAAGATGATTTTTGTAAAAACATATCAATCGGTGAAATTTGTATCAATGTACTCGTAATTTCTTTTTTAAACTTTTTACCTAATAATTATAGAATTTAGATTGTAAACATTATTTACATGAAGTTTACAATTTCATTGGGATTATTATTGCAGAAGTTATTATATGTTTTTACATTAAGAAATATGCTCACAAAATGTTCACGTTTCTCTAAAAAATCGCTTTGTTGTGTTTTGTCGCGAGACGCATTTTTTAAACAATTTTATATTTACCGTTGTATTTTATTATTTCCAACGAGAGTTACATTTCCATGAATTTCAAATCCCGCAAATGTTCCCCCATTTACTCGTTGTGTAATTACTCGCGAAGATTAACCTACTGACACAGTTTTCTCGGTGCATTCGAATATCGGTGCCTTCAACAAAGCGCAAACGCGGAAACTTCAGCTGCATCTTAATGTTTGAAGCGTGTGAAGCCATTATACTTTCTCGTGATAACGCTGTTCACGCAACTTGTAATTTGTATTCTTATGCATTCAACTTTCCTCCTTGTGGCGTGTATACCAGGCTTGAACGTTTCCTAGAATAATTTCGTTGAAATGAAACTAGTGGTTTAGAAATCCGTGATAACTAACTTAAAGTGGTAAAACAGTAAGCATCAGAACTAAGTTTCACGTGCACAATGCTTCATGTAAAGTTTAAATTATTTATCGGTAATTTATCGACTTTATTAACAAGGCGATTAAAAATAAGCAGTAACTATACAATCGTATAACATTTCTTGCGTATGTACATTAATAATATACTTATAAAAAATGATGCTCTTTTCTTAATTAATTAGTATCTATTGATAATATATTTATATGTTAGACTATCGTCGTGTTCCAATTCGCCAGTACTTTTCTTCTCTCTACGTAAATTTTAACATAAGAGTTTTCCATTTTTGTGTCTCCATTGTTGAATTTCTAGCAATTTCTAATGATTGCTCCTTAACACCGTAATATCGGAGATCGATGTCGCATCGTGCAGATAATGGATGCAATCCATTCAGGATGATGCGAATTAACGCTATGCTGCGCAGATAACACAGATACTCCGTGGACCGAATATGCGGGTGAGGTCGCATCGCGTTGCGATGCTTCGAAGCTCATTCATAGAATTTCGACATCAACGAGACTTTATTTAACTGAACTGGCCAAACAGCGCTTACAACAGTCTTCCGCCATCGTTATTGGACGTTCGTCCCATTTACAAAATAATGAATCGTTAGAAGTATACGGTGAGATTGAGCCTCTCGTTGCCAGCTTGATTGTCTCCGGTTCGCGTTTCCGCCGCGACCTCGACGCTATCCACGGTCTGGAAAACAATAAATACTTCTGCCTTCATTGTGTTTTTCATCTATCTGCTCTTTAGGATTGCGTGAAGCTTGTATTTGCAAGCGAACTTGGATTTAATTGTTCCTCTTGCATAAGTCAGTGCAATTGTATTCCTTAGGAAACAATTAGTATCGTGATACGACGTTATTCTCTGTTGTTTAACTTCAGTACAATTTAACACAATTGCAGTTCTAATATAGCTTCAAGTGTTTAAATCATTTAAACTAAATTTGCTTGACAATTCGCAAACGTTCTAAAATACTTTTGTTACGTACAAAACCAACTAAAATATTACAAGATCCTTTTTTATATTTGCCGTACAATATGGAATTTAGTTTCTGAACAGCAAAGAAATTTGTAACAGAATAGTTACCCTATCATCGTCGTCCCAGGACAACTTTTTGATCCTCGGTAAGGCCGAGCTGGCGGGCCACGCTGGCACCAGAGAGTCTGGAGGATCTCCGGAATAATTGGAAGAGTCATGGGATCCAGCATCCAAATTGGTTCTAGCACTCAAGTCGTTCATATTCTGCACCAGTCCGCCGATATTGGGAATGTTCGAAGTGGCTGATAGGGCTGGTGGATTCGGGGCGGGCGCCACTTTATGCCGGGCGTACAATGGTAATTGTCTCGCCGACGCTATACCTAATAAAGAGAGCAATGGAATATTGTAATATCGTAAATCGCCGACAACAGGTTTGTGACTTTAGTTCTGTACTTTCAGAAGAACCGCTTCAGCAAGAAGAAAGATAACGCAATGTATAAAGAGAATTGTGAAATCTTAGTAATTGCATCGAGCAGTTTTTGACAATTAATTGATAAATAAAGTTCATAAGGCTCTGATGTGAAATCACAGATACGAAGCAATAAAAGATATAAGAACCAAGACGGATGTTAGCGTTTAAATGATTTTAATTTTTAAAATTTATTGCGTAAAATTTACCTCGGCCAGGATTGATTAATTAATAGATGTATAAAAAATAGATATGCAAGAGAAAAGAAGAATATGTTAGAGAATCAATGTAAAGTATGTCGAATTCAATTATGCTGAGTGCGGCGGATAGAAAGCTTGTGCAATAGTGCTCGACTTGCACTGCCTATAGAAACGTACTTTTGATTGTAGCGCTGTACGAGCTTTCATTGGCTTCCCCGAAGACGGGATTATCGATTTCGTTACAGCTGTCGACGTTATCGTTTTCGTTGTCGTCGATATCGTGACGCCGATTCCGCGGGCCTTCCAAGGCGTCCTGAAGAACGTTGGCACCTAGCACTTGGGGAGTTGGACTTAGAGCAGAGGGAACTGGTGATTTCTCGCGATATCCTGTACCCACAGAGCTGACGGAACCGCCGCTTTTTGGCCTTTTACTTAAAGAAATGAAAAATCGGACTTGTTTTACCTGTTAACTGAGTCTCTCTTAATCCAATAAAGAATTTTGAATATTTCATATCAGTAGGTCTCTAAACTTTCCATTATCAATTCTTGACAAATCAGGAATTAAAAAACTTAAAATGTAAAGAAAAAACACGATACATTAAAAATAGCGTTTAGCAACTATTATGTATCTACAAATACTGTGCACACATCACACCATTAATATTATTCCAATATTATTACGTGGCTAAAAATTATATTTAGCACATTTACTCACTGCTTATAAATGTAAAGAATGAGAATGAGTATGACAACACCAAGAAGACCTAAAACTGCGCCGAAGATTGCAACTAACAGCACGCTGCTACCGAGCCAAGCAGGTGCAGCTCTCGCAGCGATCGGCAAAGAGCCGCCGTTCGGTATGTGAACGATTACTGGGATCATGCTGGATCTAAAGGAAGATAAATGCGGATTAACATTAAGAATAATTATTAATAGTAAATTAAAGAATCGCACACAAACTTGTAGATACCTGGGCGGTTTTCCGGTATCGGTAGCCACCGCTATAAATCGGGCCAAAGATCCATTAAACGAACTTTGCGATCTCAACACTAATTCTCCAGTATCTCTAATCTCAAAGGACCTGTAGGTAATGTAATTTATACAATTAGTGGAGGAAAGTCTTCTATTATGCGATAGGATCAAAATGTGGGATAGCGGGGTTTCTGTTAAATTAATAGGCATCAGTTGGTCCACTATGAATTTATTGCTCTCAGAGCGAAGTCTGTTTAGTGGAAAATTCATTGTTAGATTGCGTAATCGTTGCGAAAAAAAATTTGTGATTGAATTCGGGTGTTGAAAACTTGCTGTCTCAGAATAGAGGACTTTCTTCTAATAATAATTATAATTATTTTGCACAGAATATGCATTCTTATTTTAATCGAAAGTTCTCTTTGAAATTAAGAAATTAAGTATATCTTATTTTTTTTAGATATCCTATTTTCATGTGCAATTTTATTAATAAGTTATTAAGATTTACTATAGTGTTACCTTGCATCTTGTCCTCTAAGGGATAAACTGATTTTGTCTCCCCTATCGCCGTCAGCTGCTTCTAATTTGCCTGAAAAGTTACATATTCCTTGAATATCGATAGTAATAAAAATTTGATAGAATTTTGATTCAACAGGCGGAACATTTTACCTATGACGGAGCCTTCTCTCGCGGAATGAGCATGAAATTCATACCGGGAATATTGGAATCGAGGCTCCCATTCGTTCACGTCCTCGACCGAAACGTTTACACGTGAGGTATCGTTCTGAAAAATATATTCGTACAGTGTATACATATAATATTGTAAACGTCTGTATGTACGTATTACGTACGTACGTACGGGCAAAAAATAATGTGATAAAAGCTAACAATATTAATGAGATCAACGTACATGATATCCGTCTGTGACGTGAACCCGAAAGCTGTGCTGGATTCGTTGTTCGTAATCCAGATTCCCTTTGAGAATCAACTCGCCAGAATTAGTGATCGAGAATCTCTCCAAATCTTCCACCGGGCCCTCCAGCCAGAATTTTAATTCCTGGGATAAGAAACTATATTACGCTACTATGTCATAATTAATTCGCGCTCTTGTGACGCGAATTTTTGCATCACTTACAGGATCGGCTTTGTTGACGCCCGTTGTTAGAAGAACGCTCCCAGACGGCGTGTTCTCCGGCACGCTCGTTTGATGATTCTTTTGCACGAATTTCACGGGTAATCGGCCGCCTAGCATCCGTAAAGTAAAAAGTGTTAGTTTAAGATTTATTTCTAAATTCGTTAACAATTCGATACGTCATGTTTAAAACATTAATTTGACGTTTGACATTTGCATACAAAACTGTGTATGTACAATTAAATTTTGTTACCAATGAAGAACGTACCGCTAATGAATCTTCACTACAATTATTTACTTTAATGGATGGTCGCGGACTAATGTGTTTTAATAGTCAGATGATAATAATTGATAAGTAATTAATTGTACATAATAACTGTTTAATGAACTTGAAGTATTTAACTACCCAGTAAACACCAAGTGACACTACATCATATTATAATTTCCACTCAACAATGTGAGTGTAGCATAACACATATTGCATATAGGAAAAGGAAATTATAATATTGATATAATATTACTGTTAGTTGGTATTTATCGTAATAACTAAGAATACATTGTCTACCTGCGAATAATTACCACGAAAAAGATACGTGTGAGAACCGCAACAAAATAGCAATTAGGAAAAATATAATTTTTCAAAATTAAAATCTTTCAAAATTATTTTCTTATATAAAAAATATTTATTCGGAAAATTGCATATTATTTACCTGCTGTTGGACCAACCATATCTTCTCGTGATACAATAACCGTGGCAAGAGCGTACCTATCGGCGTTATTCTCTTGAGTAGCCTATTTAATGAACGATATTATTATTATCAAATGTTTTAATCCCTTAAAAAGTAAAGCGCATTAATATTTCTACCTTAATAACGATAGTTGCTGGCGCCATTAGCTCGTGGTCTTGTAACGGTCGTATCATGACGATTTCGGCAGTTTCGGGATTCAAATCAAGAAAGGGTAAGATCCCGCCTTGTATCGTATATCGGACTGACGCATTTATGCCGACATCTTTATCTTCGGCTTTAATCCAGTCAGGCACCACCCTTAACAATTTCCTCTAAATCAATAAATTAATTTTCGTGAAATCGTCCCTTTATTTTGAACTGTATGGAACCCTAACCCTTGGAAAAATTTATTTTTAATGAAATTAAAGCTTTTAAAAGTAATCCTTTAAATCTAAGAGTTTCCTCAAGAAAGTTCAAAGTTTACCTAAAAAATTTTGGACACTTAAAGTAATTTTTGGAATAGCCAAGCCTGACGAGGGCCGCGCGGCATAGCACTTTCTCTCGTACGAAGAAAACCGCACGCGGTATTGTAAATTTACGTCACGTACTTTTCACAATTCTTTTAAAGTTTTCTCTTAAATTCTTAAAGTAAGTTTTAAGTTTACCTTAAATAAAAGTTTTAAGTGTCCAAATTTACTTTCCATATTTCTTATTTTTCTAAAGTAAAATTTTACTGTTTTCTAAGATATATTTTCCCAAGGGAATCTCAATCAAAGCAAGCGTTTATGAAGAAAATTAATTAACCTTACCCCTTTTATGTGGCGAGGTACGGTGACTTTGTATTGATTGTCCAAAAAAGCTGGATTCTGATCGTCGGCATCGATAACGTTAACGTACAACGTTGTCGTTGATGAACGTGGTGGATTACCTTGATCCTGTAAAAAATTAGATTCATTGCTGATACACTATTGCTGAAAGTTAACGCCTATTGTTATTTACAATTGAGAAACGTATAATTATTTTGAGAGAGATACTTTTGGCTTCCTGTTACTGAGTATGACTACAAGCGTGAGAAATACTCAGAGGAAGCGTTTGTTCGATCAATTTTCTGTAATCTTCACTTGCTCACTGTTGCGTATCGTTACGCATCGATCATCCGAATCAATCTGCTCGAATCAATTTATTCAAGATCGCTATGATCTATTTACCGTATTTTTGACGTTGAGTTTTCTTATTGGTTTATGGATTTTTCAGATTGTGTTACACAAAAAGAATTTCTATTTAGGAATTGTAGCAATTTAATTATCCCCCTCCTCCGAGTTAAATTATTTTTTTTTACAAAGCTTCTGTAACGTAACAACTTTTTTAGATATTCACTTTTATGCAATGCGATTGTCTCAGACTTGTAAAATAATGATGGAATCTGTATATGGTATATTTGTTAATTCTTGATGTTTTTAAAGAATCAAGTGTGTAAGATCGAACTTACTTGAGCACGGATGTCAACGGAGAAGTTGGTGAGGACTTCGTAATCCAGCGATTTCCTTAGTACAAGAGTGCCTTCCAAAGCATTCACGAAAACAAAGTAATCCTGTGCACAAAAAGAGAACTGTTTACTCAATGTTTTAAATAAACTATATTCTGTCTAATATTCTCAAGAACTCGTGAGAAAAGTGATTGGCAATGCAATTGACAAATGCAGGGGTGACAGATTATTAGCGGAAAAATAATTGAACCATGTAAATTCGAAAAATTTACCGAGTGAGCTCCCGGTAGAACTGTGTATTGCACAGTGGAATACGGTCCTGGTTGGTCAGCGTCGACGGCCCGGACTCCTTGCAGGACTCTCGTGCCAACGACGGTAACCTGGAATAACCACGCCGTGTTAAAATAAAATAAACGGCACAATATTAGAATATGAAGAATCTTCTCACCTCAGAAATATTTAGCACGTAAGGCGCATTCACGAACTGCGGCGAATTATCATTCGCGTCGGTTACCCGGATGTTCACCGGTATGACAAATCCCTTTAAACATTAAACATAATTTCTTAAGAAATGATAATAAAAAGAAGATTGAAAAATTGCTTACTTAAATGCAAACAAAATAGTATAAATAAAACGTAATTTTTCGATCACAGAATTATGAGAATTACGAGAATACTAAAGTTTTTTTTACACAAAATTAATTTGCTTCAGCTATTCAATGTAAACTCGGTATTTTCGTTAAAGAAATATCTATTTTCTAAATCTATCGAATTTATAAAAAAATTTGAATGCATGGCAATTTTATAAAATGCCTCGTGAAATTTGAAAGAAATAAAATTAATATTACAAAATTATACTTGAGGATATTTTTTTCATTATTTTAATATTCAATGTAATCGCTTCTGGAAATCGTCTTACCGGGTCCAAGGTGTGTTTCCTCTCGCAAATAACGTTGATATAAACGCTGGCTGGTCCCTCGACACCCTCCTTATCGAGCGGCCTGATAAGAGTTAAATTTTTCGAGTATGGCGAGAATGCGACGGGGCTGTCATGCTCCTGCAAGCTCAGCTCGATGTCACCCTGTGAGCTAGGATCACCTAGCACCCCGAGGATTCCCACGGTATCGCCGACGGGCAAATCCTCGCTGACAAAGAGATGCGCCGCAGTGGCTCCATTCTCCAGAAAGCATCGCGTGTCTCGAGTCACTGGAAAAGTCGAGCAATCGTTAATATGCATGATGAAGCTATAGTTGTTGAATCAGAAATTTTTAATGGCGTTTGAGTAAATTGATTTCTAGAGCGAGGAGAAAAGATGCGGTGTCATCGACAAAAGTATTGCAAATTATATTAAATTAATTTAACTAATCTGATAAATTCGGCATTTAAGCTCAAATATTAGACTTATTTGTAATATTCACTTGTAGCAAGAACATTATTTTTAAGTAATAACGTGTCTTATTTTATTAATATACGGTACAAAACATATTATGCTTCTACGCACTTATTCGAAAACTTTTCTTCACAATAGACGAAAAATTGACGAATTTTATAAAACATGCCATTGTTTGAAGTATGAATGCGTGTGCTGTAGTTTTAAACAAAAACTCATATTGTCTGAAAAAGTGGTCGTTATTGGATTAATGCCGTTGAGGTTACTGGAGTTTCCGGTCGAAATCGCACAACCGGTTTCCAGTGGGCTGTACGAAAGTTTCGTGATGATGGAAGGACCGTGGGACAATGATCTTTTGTAGGAAACGACGCCCGACGGTAACGGTACACAAGATCAATACGAATTCGCAGGACAGGTCGTTGATATATTCAGCAAATTTGCTGATTTATTTTTTACTTCAATTCAATAATTGCGCCCAGACAAAGCGCATTCTAAAAAACGTGCAGAAAGCAGTTGACACATAATAATGTGTAAAAAGTTTCGTAGGAAAAACAGAATTTTCAAGAGTATTTGTATTCCGAAATTAACTTTGTGTGAGTGAAGACAACTTTATATATTTTGCTGTACGTATCCAGTAATCGTCAAGGACCTTCTTACTTTGTCCCCTCTAAGACCATGTCTTGTAAAATAAGTATCGTATTACCGTACGAGGATGTCCGTTTTATGAGATCCTTAACGGCAAGAAAGCATGCACTTTTGTGCTTTTAACCATAAATGACATGCGAGAAGATAGCTCTTTGTTCGTTGCTTGTAACAGTAGATAACTACTTTACACATACACACACAGCTTTAAGTAATGCTTACGCCGTTAGTACCTATTTATTCGTAATACACACTGTTCAATTATTAATTGGATCTGTTCTAATGACTTCAAACGATCCTGCGCAAACACATGCACTCTAGAAGCGTAATAGCGTAAGGCAGTTAAGTTTGCGGTAAACGTAACGCAATTTCGTAATCTAGAGCGTGAATTTAACTATTTTTTTTTTCTAAATACTTTCCTCCGAGGAGAGAGAAAGAAAATTGTATAGTAAAGTTAATGAGTGATAAAGTAAAAGAGAAAAGTTAATAAAGTAAAGATGATGAGAATCGATATTTACGACACGATATGCAGTAAAGATTATCACGTGTGTATGTCTACGTGTGGACTATTATTACTCTCTTTCACGTAATAGGTGGATAAATTACGATGCATAAAGTGCATACAAGGGGCGGCGAGGTCGTTTATCTAACAACAGTGCTTTAGTTGTTCTAATGCCACATAAATCACGATAGCCGCTTTTGCGCCTCGTTTGACTGCCATAGCTACCGCCGTTGGAGATTCATTCCCGGGTCCGCTTTATGATCGCGCATATCGATTGCTATAATTAATTGCTGTAATTGTTTGATAAGCGAGGCAGCGGTTTTAACGAGACACCACAATTTAGCGTTTTTGCTTCAAAGAGCTTTCAGATTACCGTTGCTCTTTTTATTTCAATAATGAGCAAATAACGAGTATAAAAATGAGATAAAATCGAAAAGAACAAACTTGGTCTCGTAGCGGTTTCCAAAATAGCGGTTCTATACGTACGCGTGCTAATATTGCGAGCTTAATTGGACACCTTTATATCGTTATCGCGGTAACGAGATCGTGTTACAGTTAGGAGGAAGGTAATTCAATTCGAAAATTAAACTTTGAACAGTCTGTCTTTGACAAAGGCCTGAATGGACGTCGCGTCACTCGTTCTTCCCGGTTGATCGACGGGAATTCGGACGCTGGAAGGACGCGAATCGGATGCGTAGACGAATACGCGTGGGCTGTTTAACGCGTATGCGAGGGGGTAGATATGCGCGCTTCCCTGGAGCGGAGTTCCGGTCGCTGCAAACTCATGGCGTATCGTCGGCGGCGCAGCGTTACGGCGCTGGCCTTTCGCAAACTCCTTTTCTAGCATAGACGAGGACCTCTCCCTGGCAAAAGCGATCGCCGTTCGATCGTCCGCGAAAATAACCGCAGAGATTTGCACGAGTTTGTCATCAGTCTTTGACAAAGAGTTCTCATCAGACGAATCAAGCAGGCACACTGCGCTTTTCCGTGCGATTCGCGCAAAGAGGCGAATAGTTTAGTTTTTAAAATACAAAAGAAAGAAAGAATTTGCTAGAAAAATGATGTAATTGTGACATAATGTTTTGGATGACTATATACTTGAGGGAGATCTATATAAGTTGATTAACTTATCTCAATTTTTTCCTCAAATTATTCATTTGCCCGATTACTGCATTGGCATTCTTCATGGAAAAGAAATGGAAAAAAGGAATAAAGAATGATTGAACCGATTATACATCTTGAAAATTCTGTAGTCTTTACTTACTAGTATACAGTGATCCTGGAAACTGCATTCAATGAAAGAAATTGGGTTTTACAAATTAAAAAAATTTTTTTACAAATCTGGGAGGATTCTGACAGGAATATATGGAGAGGAAGACTGTGATATATGAGTGCAGGAAGACTTACGTTGCCCGACGTGCGGTTGCAGCATGCAGCAGAGGAGCAGCAAGATCCTCAAGATCCTCAATACGTTTCGTCCCATGGCAATTTAAGATCATCGTCCACCGATTCTGTCGACAGATGCATCTGCAAAAAAAGGAGAACGAAAATTAATGGAAGCGAGGGATAAGAGACGACGAGAGATGCAGTGCATTACTTCTGCGCAACTGGGCTTCCTTTAATCTATCCGCGGGAATAAAATTTTCCCGGAAGCTACTTCGATTTATCGTATCCACGGACATAGCATTTCCTGCGTTCGAAATGTCCAGCTTCTCGGAATCATTACGGAGTTTTTATTGCTTTTCGTCAAGGCGTTTCATCTCGCGAGAAGATCTTGTGCTAGATGTCACGAGTTGTCGGACTCTAGTAAAGATTTATAATAGTTTTAAATCAAATTATTAATTATTACTTTTTTTAATTGTATTTCACATTTTTACGACAGCAATAAAATATTTTAACACAATTAGATTTCAATAATTATTAAGCTATTAAATCGTTTTTAATGATTTTATTTAATCTGCCTTGATATCGACATTACTTTTTTTTCTAATGTTGTAACGCGGCAAAGTATATGATGCAGTAACGCGCGAAAGTATAATACAAGAATTTTACATAACGTTACAGAATTAACTGTCCTTTTTTATTACATAATTTTCTAATCTAGCTTCTACAATATAATACCTTTTCATATTCATCTAATATAGACTTTTTCGCATTATTAAACGAATATGGTTAATTTTATTACAATTAAGTGAAGTAACTAAAAGTAGCAAATTATTTTTGGGGAATGTTAAGTTTCAGAAAGCAGTAATAAAATTAGAAAATAATCATAAAGCCATACTCAACTTTGAAAGAAAATTTATGAGATCGAAAATATATTAAAATTTGAAACTTTTAATCTGTCTTTAAAAACGTTTTGGACCTTTCAGTATTATTAACGAAAATACTGATTTTTAAATCATAATACCTTCTTTGAAAAATAATAATCATGAATATTGCTCTAACAGGAAACCGATGAGATCGTCCACGGATCCACATACGCTTCAACTCTTGACAAGATGACGCAAGGACGTGACATTAAACGTAACAATTTTGCTGGTAACGTGCAATCCGGTTTGTCATCGTGTTAGCAGACGAATGTAAGAACATAAGCGCCGGGCGAACGACCACTTCGTCCGACGACGAAACTCGTCTGCAATAGCGAGCATAACGCGTGGTTAGAAAGCATGCAGAGAAACTCTTTTATTACGTGGAACTATGGCTATGTAGGACTGCGCGTCTCATCAGGGCTAGGATGACTCGTACGAATTATCGCCCGAGGCAGCTCTTAACACCTTGCACTCTCGCCTTTCGCGCAAATAGCGCATTTCTTTTGTGACGTCATGTCGGGAAGTTGATGATCATTTCGAAAGCGTTTGAAATACCGATGTTACAACGCAATCGTTCCTTCTTACGATTGAGTGGTAAGAATGGAAGCAGATTTCTTTAAGCTCGTTAGCGCGAGAAAGTTTGCCTTTGCGTTTTTCCATTCATGATACTTTGTTAGTGGTATTGAATGGACTGGTACTAGAGATACTTCTTACAATTAAACGCAAATGTTTTAAATTTAGTCATAAAATATAAGTGGAATATAACAAAGATACTGGAAAGATAAAAGATAAAGAATATTCCACAGTTTTTGTTGTGCAATAAGTTGATTTGATATAAAAAATAAATTAATATTTATTTATATCTGAGTTTATTTACGTTCAAATGTTATCTAAAAATTTTAAAAGTTAATTTTAAATAATATTTAAGCTTTAAGTAAAATATTATACAAATAATTTTCATAATGTCTCTCTCTCTCTTCCTATTCTATGTTCATATTCATATCTGTATCTATAAAATATCTTCACTTATTCAACACTGCACTATAATACATATAATCATTATTGTTCCTTTTTAATTCATTATCTGTAAATTTGCATTTACATGCCCGATTTAATTTCTAAATAATTTTTTATTCTTTCACTGTTTTAATTTACATTTTTTGCCTACAATTTTGCATATTGCATTTTGCATAATTGTTTGTTAATTTCGTCGCATTCCGTGAGATACTTTAGAGTAACACGAGAGAAATGAAAAATAATTAAAAAGATGTAAAAAAATTTACAATAGAAAAAAAACAGGTAAAAAGTTTTTCCGAAAATGTCTGCCGACAAGGAAATTTGTACGCAAAATGGCTGGATATCTCGGCTATATGGGGCGCAGTACTGCTTAAATTCACGAACCGTAAATTGAAACGCGATGGGCAGCCGGCGTAAAGGCCTCCGGCCTCTGCTCCAGCGGATAACTGTATAAAAATATCATTGGTACGTGTACTGCGGAAATTGACAGTTCAAGTGATCTGAATCTTCGTACTGATTACTTTATCAAAGTTTGTGAAATCGCACTAAAAAATTAACAATCACACCGTGCGTGACATTTTACTTTATTACTAATAATATTTAGGCGATATTTAACTTAACAATAATGTTTAAACGTTGAATTACTATGGTCGTGCTCAATCGTGTTATCCAGTGTCTTTGTTTAGTTGAAGTGCAGTAAGTATGAAGGTACACAAAAGTTATATAAGATTTCTTACTTTCGAAAAAACATGCACCTACGTCTTCCTCACTTTTACATTTGTTAAAGTGTTTAATTATTAAATTCTCAGGAGGAAAGGATAGAATTCTAGTGCCCATTACAATAAAAGACTTTGATATAAAAGTGAGATATTATCTTATCGTAAAAATATGTTTCTATTGATATTAATTAAGCGGTGATTAATGTTTTATTAACAGTATTAATCCTTATTTTTATATTATAATTTGGCGTTATAACAATTCACATTTAATTTTATTAATTATAATAAATTACTTTTATTTACTATACAATGCAATTTTCATTAAGTTTTATGTTTTTAAATAATAGGTTTAAGAGAGATAATATCAGAGATTGGTAACAGATACTCACCACAAAATGTACTTGGAAAAAGCGCGCAGGTTCGCGTTTCTATATCTCCATTGTTTGCAAAGAGATATCTCACTCGCAGCACTTTATTCTTTATTAATAACATAAATTCCGTAGATTGCTGTTGATCTACCACGCACTTGGCCACCGCCCTTTACAACAAAAAGCACAAAGGGCTTACGAATTGTACCCTAAGGTGTCCTTATCGATCGGCGTGGCCAGACAGTCTTTATAATTCACTTCCTTTCGCGCACATAACGAAGTAAGTTCTCGAATTTTATGTTACAAACGTGTCAATCAATTTGTTTAACTCTTTAATGAAAAATCGGCAATTTTGTTATATCTTCAAATACAATTTATGTTTTACTTAAATTCTGTGCTCACAGTTTACATACTTCTTAATTCTTATATTTTGACGACGATGTGACTCTTCGAAACATCGCTTGCTTTTGCAGAATCTTTTTTATCTTCCGGCGATCTCCAACTCTCTCTTTCCTTAGGAATTTATATTTCAGTGCAGTCTCCAACGTTTTATATTTCTTCCTATATTTTGGGGCCGTTTTATCGTTTCAGTTTTAATACACCGTGCGCGTTGCTCTTTACGCTACGTGCACTACCGTGATCGACCTCGATCAAACTCGGCTACGACTACCGCGCTGTAGGGCTGTAGAACTCTTTACTACAAAACGGAGCCGTCGTGCAAAGCGGCTGGAGTGGCACTCGGCTCCCCATTGTCAGGGAAGGGGGGGACTGCGGCGACCAACAGAAACGTGTATCTGAACCATACCGCGAACAGGTGTTTGCTTTCATATACGATGGGGGAACGGACGCGGCGCATATGTGCGTACGTTTGAATGGGTGCGCACATAACTGACCCCTATCTTCGAGGCCCTACGGGGACCTGCGTCGACCTTACCGAAGACGGGAGCGCGAGGATTTCCGGTCTTTCCGAGTTCCCTCGGAGAAAATTTTCTTGGAAATAAAACGCGGCAAGCTGGAAGAATTAAATGAACAAGATCGAAACGATATGGAAATTGAAAACGATATAACAATTAAGGCCCGGTTTCACCAACGTCGCTTAACTTTAAGCTTAGTTTAATTCGTTCTTTGTCTCTTTTCAACTGTTACTTTAGAAAGAGACAAAGAACGAATTAAGCTAAGCTTAAAGTTAAACAACGTTGGTGAAACCGGGCCTTAAAGTGACAATTTATCTATGCTGTGAGGAAAGAGAGCAGATAGAATTTGCGGTATTTCATAGTATAATAGGATATAGATAAAATATAGCCTCACATCTTAGTAACAGCAATCATTTTGATACATTTTCCGTGAAAAATATGAATTAATCGCAGCTGCAGCTAACAAAAACTCAGCGGCACTTTATAAATAATAATTTCAATTGGGATTCTCTGGCGCGACGTTATAATATCAATGTCTCCTTTTATCTTCTTAGCTCTATCTAATCACGTAACGAATATGAGATTGTTAGTACAGCAAGCTGTAATAACGAGTAACGAATACACATAATCAAGAACAATTGCATAAGCGCGCAATTTTTTTCGGCAATTCGCGTAGCGAATCACGTTCCCCTTGGCGGTTCGCGACTTAATGTCGTGAGAAGTCGCCGAGGGCAAGTGGAACGAGAACCGCGTTGCAGGCGTCGCGATTCGCTTATGGCATCGCGACGACGTCCCTCGCGGATCATCGGTCTGTGAAATTGCGGGCGTACCTCCTCGCCCCTCCTCGTACCCCCCCCCCCCCCATGGGAAAAATGACTTTTATTATGCACGGTTCTTGCAGTTAATAAACATAGGCCCGTCTCAAGTCCTTTCCACTTTGAACCAGTTTCTGCTATTGTCCGTGATTTACGCAGAATGACTATCTAACGGTGCGTCCACCGGCCGACACAATCGAGACATGCAATTTATCGGATATTTTCGAAAGTGCTCAATTATTATAAAAGTCCTCAAACGCCTGGCCATTAGAACACAAATGGAGATTCATGGTCGCTTTTAATTCCACTTTTACGAAACTTTAGTCATTCTAGTTGATTGTTGAAAATATCTTCATTGTTCTTGGTGACTTTATTGCTATCCAACGATGTTTAAAAAATAACGTTGCATGTTACATATTTTTAATTATATATTTTTTTAATTATTTGTGTTAATAATTTTAAGCAGTATATTGATAAAATAATTGTACTTACTGCGTTGAAAATCTTGACGTTTTCCGAAAAGAAAAAATTTTAACACAATTAGTAACAGTATCGATCTCAATAAAATAAAATCAGCTGTAATCCTTCCAGCCGTCATAAGCGCATCGCGATATTGTATGCACATGAGTCAAAGAAGGCATCGTATCGTTTCCCACGCGATCGCGTGGTAGCTTCGATAAGAGTTTGTTTATCATCGACTGAACTGTATATCCGAGGTATACGATTTTTCTAAGAATGATTTAATAATGAACGTAGATCGTTTAAATTTGTATATTCGTTCCGTATATACGCATTTATGATTATATATATATTTTTGTAAAATATAAAATTGGACCTCTTCAAAGTAAAGATGTAATTTTCCTAAAAGAATTGGCAAAATATTTAACGACAGTACGACAGACAAGTATGATATTAAAGGTAACAATTACAGAATGTATTTTTTTATCTTACAATACACAGTTTACATAAGATAATGGTACATTAACACAGCCATTTATTGACAATTGAAATATTTCACGAAATAACAGAGCTTCCTGGCCATCGTACAAATGCCTGCTACACTGTCTAGAAAGCGTCGGAAGAATTTTGTCACGTTAAATATTATGAAACATCTGATATTGCGACACATGTAATTTCTACGTGGACTTGTAACGACAATTAAAGGCTTTTTGGGCCCTACTGGGATAAGCATACATAGCGATCGATAAGCGCCGATCGATTAGCATCACGCGGAATCACGGACACACGGCTTAACACGGAAGAGCGGGTCTGGTCGTCATCCTTTCGTATCCCTCACATCACCGGCGTTCCGTTCCATTGTATGAGAGCATCCTGCCACCTTTGGTGCAGCGTGGAACAATAAGTGGAAGAGGTGATACCTTGAATTCTTGCGCTGTTTACGGTAACGCTCGAGCAATCTCGCAGATATCGCATGATCATTTTGTAATCGAGAAGACAATAGCGATCTTAGATCTTTTCCCTGCACTAAAAAGCTTTTAAAATTAACGGAAGAAGTAAGTGGACTTTTCAAATTGAACTATCGTATTTCGTATCGAGCGTATGGAGTGCAAAATTAATGAAAGAAGTATAATTTTCAAATTGAACTGTTCGAGTAATCGAGTACGGGCCTGCCTATAAAGTTATTCGTGAAATTTTTGTAAGACCGTAATGCGAACCGTAACGTTGATATTTAGGTAAAATTATACACTGTGGCGTGTATTATATTGTTGTATCACTTTTCAAATAATACTAACTTGGATCGAATAAGTTTCTCTAACGGTGTCGCGGCGATATCCCCGGTTTCCATTGTTGCAGCATCTGATCCTCCGGAAGCCTCGTTTGCCCTGGTATCCACCGTCAACGTAGCGTGACTGCCACCGCAGGTGAAATATTGAACCTCGAATCTTTTAACATATTCAGAATGAGCGATATTTCCTTGAGACTGCTATAAAGTCAGACGCTATTTATGTGTTTGTATGTAGAAGTTAAGAATGAGCTAGGTTTACACACATTTTCGAAATGCATATAATCAACACGACGGCTCTTTCTTTCATTTATAAATTGTATATCTGATTATCTATTCTTCGTACAGGAATTATTATATGTATGTCGCACAGGGATATAAAATATAGCTAGTGCTGTCGTGGCAATTGTATTAATAAATAAATAAATTATTACTATAACATTAAAACATAAATAAGATTAATAAAAAGAACGAGTAATACGTAAAATTGCATGATCTATACCGTCGTTCCGCATGATAATTCCTCAGCAATTCTCGATTCGTGTTGAAAACCACACCGTGATGGCCGAGACAAAGAGTCACCCATATCGGTAGACTGGGTGTTTTCAATCGAGAACCCGGCTGTTTGCTTATATTGCTATCACCTTCGTGTACTAAGAACCCCACTTCGCTCCTCATAAGGACGCCCCAGTGCGGCACAGCCTTATTTTGAATTAATTACATTGAATTAGCATTTAAATGAATAGTCGTTTTTTAAAAATTATATTTATATATTATATTAAAAAACTTGATTCGACCAGGATATATATCGTGCAAGTAATCTACATTATGTGCAGAAATTTCGTACTAATTTCGATATGATCCATAGAAGCTACAGTAGACACATATATTGTAAAGAAACGTAGTTGTAAAAACATAAATTTGTAAAGAACCAAATTAATATAGACTTACGTATGTATTTTCGTCGCCAACATGAAGCACTCCGTTGTGAAGATGCGGTGAAGCACGACCGGTTAAAACGAAGATGGTAATACTGATTGGGCCTTCTTCCGAACAGCCGCCGAGGATCGATGCCTTTGGATCTTCTATATCATTTCGCACCCTGAAACATAAAAATATATAAATCAGAATATTATAACTTGCAGCTGATTGTCCGGCTGAGACAATCCTTTTTCATCTCCAATTCGAAATAGAATGAGAAAAATCCAAAAGATAGGTCTTACTTTGAGAGGCCTCTTGAAAGTACTGCGCTGTATAAAAGTAACTTTGCGCCAGGTCCGCCCTCGTCATGAAACTGAAGGTATAAAAAATGAAGATTACGCGTGACAAAACCTTAAAAGTGTGAGTTTGTGTAAGATAATTTGATATTTTATTGACTTTGTGTGGAGAAGAAACTATATAATTTTATAACAATGACAACGAGCAATCAAGATTTGAATTTAATACAGAAACTATATGAAATTCCGTCGCTTAAATAATGTCTGATAATATCTGTAATGTTTGACATTCAATCCATCAAGTATTTTAGTTTCCTTACGTAAATACTTACCAGGTACAAGTACCTCTTGACAAATATCTCAAGATCCTCCAAGGAATTGAACTCGAAAAGGTGTAGCTAGAGTATAAAGCAACCTTTCAGGGAGTGCACTTGAATCTGATAACGTCGTAGAAAATGGACTGTCAACCATAGGACAGAGATATATCACGCAATCTTGAGACTGCACTCTAACACACTTGGCAAAATAGCAACGCTATAATTCGAGACATATTCTGTTTCGTCGTAAATTAATTAAACGAGAAAGCTGGATTTCACCTCGCTACTCGTTAATGTGATAGAAATAGAGTGGATGCATTAGTGCATAACTAAATTGTTTCGCTAAACGCGCGCGAGAATGTTAATTTCGCATAGACTTACGGTTTATATAATATACGGATAATGAAGAAAAATATTTAAACTGTTGAAATGTTAAGAGGCAATTCTTTTAAATATCTATTTAACTTACTGGCGGATAAAATTACGAAAAGGGAGACATACCGTTTCTGTTAATCCATCTTGAAAATATTGCACACTGTGCTGAAGATACGGCGTATCCTGCGGCAGAACTACGATGGCCTTTGGCACGATGTTGCTGACCACGTTTGGACATGTGGATACGGAGAAACCACCTGCACAACGCCAGATAATCTCCGATATTGCACAAGTTAACACTTCGATCTGTCGATCGTATGAAGGTTTCAGCAAGCTGTAATCAAAAGAAATTTTCTTTATGCTCAAGTTACGATTCTGTAATAATTCCGTAATTAAGATAAGTACAATTAATATAAATAATATAATATTATTAAAATGTTGATTATTTTACTAATGTGCTGTTCTAAGATATGTAAATTTTTCTTCGTAATTGGACTAGACTTATAAGCATACTTGGAATACTTAGAATATATTAAAAAATTACTTGACGGTCAGGTTTAATATAAAATTATTGTAATATATAAATTATATAGCTAACGATACACATATAATAATTATTATAAAAATATGAATATTGTAATAATTGTTGCATTAAACTATCAATTGTTAAACTTTTTATAGTAGTACGCATATTTTGCAATAATAAATGCTATTGCTATTAATTACTTGATATTCATTATTTTTCAATTACTTGACGGTCAGGTTTAATATAAAATTATTGTAATATATAAATTATATAGAGCTAACGATACACATAATTATTATAAAAATATGAATATTGTAATAACTGTTGCATTAAACTATCAATTGTTAAACTTTTTATAGTAGTACGCATATTTTGCAATAATAAATATTGCTATTAATTACTTGATATTCATTATTAGTTGCCACATTCTCTAATCGTCAAAGACTTCGACTGCATGTACGGCAATGAAATATATATATCTATGTGCTGTTCAAATAACAGGTACTTACGTTTCGGGATTTACACGTAGATCCTGCCTGTCGCACTTGAACAAAAAGTGCTTCAGCATAATAGCTTGCACTGCAGTGACGAGGCTTCTTGTTGTATTTCTGGGCGTTCTCAACCCGAATGCTAAGCTTTGTCCGTACGGTCGTAAGGTCAGCCCGGTCCTCGCCCACTCGACCTTAGGTGGACTCGCGCAGGAACCGAAGACCAACGTTCTCAAAGCCTGTAACGATACGAAGTCATTAATACGATAATTAATTTTTATAAATTAAGCACAAGTTTTCAAACTATTTTTATACGTAAAATTCGCACAAATTTCTTCATTATATACATATATTTATAATAAAATTCGTGCACTCTAAAATTACCATGCACGTTTCTTCTTCGATGGGTTGCCCGCCGATCACGGGCGTTTTTGGAAGGGCTCTCGTGTTACGTGGGTAGAGTATCCTCTCTGAAACACAATCCAAAATAGATTAGTTTTTTCACGAAATAGAACAGAGTTTAAAACTAAATGCCCTTTTGCACCTGGATAGAGCTCGTCGGGTTCGGCCATGAGAGCAGCATACCGGGCTGCTCGAGTTGACAATAACATCTTCGAAGTATGTTTAATTTTTTAACGTGATGTTAAGTATCGATGGTAATCAGCTGCGGTTACTTTACAATATTATATTGCATGCGTGTGTAGCAAAAATTCCAGTGTGTATTATACGCACAAAAGTTAATTTAAATATTTCTTCGCAATAAATAATTATATAATTTCGTTTATCATAATCTTCAATTTATCGTTTAACGGTACGACCGTGCTTCAATATACGCAGCGCGAGTATTGAAATGCAAGAAACGGTCTCATCGACGAGGATAATTCTCGGGTGGCTTCCACAGCCAGTTGTCACCCAGAGGCACCGCGCCGGTGGAATATCGGATATCAATTGAGATCGTGCCGGAATCCGCACTTCCTTTATATAGGATCTGATACGCGACGCTTATGCGTGCAAGCATTTCGCGAAATACCCGTCGCGTCGGGGCGTTCAAACCGTTCGTGCACGGAAGGTGTCAATTCGAACGTCCAAAAAGAAATACGGCAGCTCGGAACGATAGACATGCCCTACTAATGTCTATTTGCCACGCCGCACTCCAAGCTGGAACTTGAGTGTGAACACGGTCACTGGCGTAAGTAAATTACCCCGAGATCTATCACCGCGAGAAAAGAAAACTACTAACAGAAAGAAGGTAACGGCAAAGGGGGAAGAAAAAAGTAGAAGAAAGTAGAAAAGAGAGGTGAACAGAATGGTAATTAAAATGTGGAATGAAAAGAAACGAGGATAAGATTAGAAAAGTGAGAAACTAAAAAAAGGTACAGAAATATACGTAGAAATATAAAAGTAGAAAAGAGAGAATGAGAGGTGCATAAGGAGGAAAGAAATAAGAAAAGTCTAAACATCATAAAATTATTTAAAAGAAAGAAAGCATTATAGAATTTTTATTTCTGTAGCGTTGAATCAAGCATGCTAAATTTATATGTCATGTTCTACAATATCTTGTTGAGCATCACGAAGTTTATACAGATAAAGGATGAGATCGAGATTGTGGTAAAGGTTGAAGGATCATTTAAAGTTTTTTCTGTTCGGTTCAACGAGGGATAATTAAAACATTAGCTACGCCGTTGCACGTGGCTGGATGTAACAGTGGCTGAAGTTATCCAAGTTTCTGTGTTTCCCGTGTTTCCGTCGGCGAGTGCTTTAGGGGACGACGAAGTTTAACGCGATACTGTTTATATACGCAATAGATGTGCTTCGGGTCTTTAGACCTCTCGCCGCTTGCGTGTACGTCGAACATAACTGCGGGGAACATACAGGAGTAAGATGGGGCAAATTTGGGGGCAAGGTTCTTGTTTTCTCGGAAACAGTTTGGACGAGCTGATCGATTGTTATAGCAGGACCTTGACGGGTCTGACAGAAAACTAATACGGGAATGTGTGTGAATGTTAATCGTACAAGGTTTTCAGTCAAATTAACTACATTCACTGTATTTAATGCTTTTAAGATAAAGCTTGAAATAGTAGTTGAAATAAAGGCATAATTGCTGTTTTAATATTCGTGTATATAATATACATATAAGAGGAGAAATAGGACTGAAATTTATTACGATTTTGCGAATTTCGGTTCTAACAATCCCTGAAATAAAAGTAATTTATAAAATTTTATATTTTAAGAACTTACACGAGTTCATGGTAAAAATTATTAATTATTTTATATTTCCACATTTTGCCGGAAAATTACACGCTGAGAATTCAAATTTCTGTTCTGCCTCATATTTTTATTTTTATCTACATTTTTAATTCTTCTTGATATTTCTGTTATTTAACGATTAAATAAGCTATTGGCAATTACGTTGCTAGTTTGAATCGATTAAAATATCATTGTAACTTATTTTTATATTATATTAAAAAAAAGTTGAAATTCTCGAAGCAGTATTAATAAAACAAGATTTCTTCTCTGCTTGTATACACGATACGAAACAATTTCCTGATTTTATTGTCCCTATTTCATCGGTAAGCGTCGTAAAAGCGTAATCTGATTGAGAGAAGGGTGGCGAGGACAGCAACAGAAGCTGCCACAATCGGTCGTTTTCAGATACCGAAGATGTATTGTATTGTTCGGCACGGCCTTTCGACTACCTCGCAGCTCGAAAGCGATCGCGTGTTCGCGTGCAATCAAAATATCGGATTACGAATTCGCGCCGGAACGGCCATCTGCATTTGGCGATTGCACACCCCGATATATCGCGCCCCTAATTTACATTTGCGAGGCGCCTGTCGAGAGAAGGCATACCTATCGATCTATTCGACCGTTTATGCTCCTGCAGTGTACACGCTTGTACGCTCCATAGAATTATGTCTGATTATATCCTTACCTTGCGTTCTATTATCTTAACGAGGCAAACAAGTTTGCTTACTTAAAGGAAGCGCCAAAGTTGGAACTAAGATATATGTTATATTTGGATAAAACTTTCGAGGTAAATTAAATTAAAAACAATGTTAATGAAAATCTTCATCAAAACCATTCAGATCCCTGAGCTTATGATAATAAATATTCTCCTGAGATTGCTAGATTTTTTATTGTTTTTTGGCTGCAATAGATTTTCTTATAAAATTATTATAAAGTGTAATAAGATTTATATTTTACATTAATATATAGTGAAAAATGCAAAATGTGATAATATAATTTATTATCCGCAAGTAAAATTCTCCACAATTGTAAATAATCTACTTCACATCCTGTTTGCAAATAACTTCGTATAGAACAACAAAAATTATGCTTTTAATGTATTTGCGAAGACAAAAAGAATAAATTTAACAGCGAATATGCATATATTCGCTTGATTCACATAAATAATAGAGTTAAATAAGATCCCTAAGTAAAACCAACCAACAAACGATCCGAGAGAAGCCATGTAGGTCTGAGCAAGACGTAGGTAGCCCAATACTTGTAATTGAAAATAAACATACATAAATTTCGCTTAGTATACATTAATATTACTTATAGTCGAGAAAATATTTACTGTACGAAAAATGCGCTGGCAATACTTGGTTAATGAAGCAACCACTGCTCTCCTTTCATATTTCGCGTTTAAGTTCATGATTGGTTTGCACAAATGAGGGTTATTGCAAAAATAATGAAAAGAGAAAGTTGCTGTAGTCGATTAATAATTTAATTTAGCGCAGAATATGGATTTACTATTCGGAAGATCACTTTGAAACTTAAATCTCTTTGCACACACATATAGGAAATTAACCACCTACAACATTGTATATATTAGATACTAAAAAGTACCTAGAAAGTAGAAGCATTACAACCTAATTTTTGTAATTTAAATTAATAATATAATTAAAACAAAATATTCTCAGAATAATTATACAACTTATAATTAGTTCTTACAATATGATGCTGTGTCGTTTCTCGTTTCTTTGACTACAGGGAAAAGAGTAGACACTCCAATAGAAAAGAAACTTACTTCATTAAAATAATTGTATTTTTTGTTACTAATTTACTAATTTATTTCCTAATAATTCATTGAATAAACATACTTAACTATATAATCCAAAGCAATAATAAGAAAGTATTTACCTTCTAGTTTTTTATTTATATTTTATTACTTTTTAATTAGCAACTGTGTTTCACTTTCTAATTTAATTTATTTTCTATGTATTTTTAATGTAATCTTTTAACCAATAACTACGTTTTATTTTGAATTCCATTTATCCCTGCGCTGATAAGAGTCCGAAAAAGGATCGAAGCGTACGCCTGTATTCACTTATATGACTCACTGATTTGCAATTAAAGTTATTTGCGCATTAATTAACGCGCGTTCCAACGAGAAATAACCTGCCAAAATTAACGTCGATCGACGAGTTATTTCTCGCTGAGATTCTATTACCTTTCTTATTGTTTTTTTTAATTATATTCAAGGGAGCCTCTAAATCATCATTAAATATATGATTTAGAATACAATCGCGTACGGTGTATCATAAAATTCGAAGCAATTGCAGTATACGATAAATAAATAATTATTTGTTTGTAACTTAAGTAATTTTTTCTAATACTTAAAGATCTCGTACCTCTGTCCCGAAGATATGGGGGTAGCTTTTCCTTCCGCATTTCCTTGCAATGTCGCTTATCGCAGGTGGACGCCGCGTTCGCCACAGTGGCCTCTTTCTCATCCGTCACGTCGGGTTCAGCCATTTCTGAAGCTCACTTTTTCTACTTGTATTCAAGACTTAAATTCACACGTTGCGCGACTTACAGTTTAAATAACTTCAAGCCACCAGTACACAGGCAGATCGCCGCTGGACACCATCGCAATTATTTTTTATGTCAACCAATCACATGTTGAACTCGTTCAACGACACGTTTCTTTCGTGTTGGAAGACATTACATCTTTCGCTTCATGCGTCAGATTTAAGATCCACAGCCTGACACAGCTCGACGGCCCATAAAAATTCCATTCGTTCCCATTCAGCGTTTGTTCCTTAACCGGCATGACTTCCGCAAAAACGCGTCGATTCGCTCGCCGCGGTTATTTCACGTTTTCTCATTTTGCGCGCCGAAGACGGAATGCAAGAAAAATAACGTGCCTTGCCTGCAATTTCTCCCGGTGGTTCCCTGATAATCAATGTTAGGCTTTAACGTTCGCGCTTAAAAGTTGAAGTACACGAAATTCTACGTACACTCAGCAATCTTTAAGATATTAACGATTTGCGTTTTGATACTTTTTCGCAGAACAGCTGAATTTTAAAGCTAATTTCCCCACAAATTTATTATTTTTTTAACAGTCATTGATTGTTGTATTTTATTTGATTTTGTAATTAGTATTCTTCGGTTATTTCACGATTAATTTGTATAATTATTTAGAAAAAGAAACCTCGCTTGCCCGTTGTAATAATTTTAAGCGTTCTAATTAAAATACTTGGTGTATTTTATATCTTTTTACTTTTAATTTAAGCGCGTTACAATAAAATATTATTTACGTACGCGTTCGTTTGTATGTGCGTGTATTTTATGAACAGGTTTTTTTCAGAATACAGCTGTAGTTTATATCGTAACAAATTAAAATTACGTTTATGCATTGGACACTTGTTCATACGTTTAGTACATTTCAAATATTTCGTCTAATCACACTAATCAAGTACCACGAACGTGCCGCGAAGGTAACGATGCTGTTTGTACTTTCATTGACTTGCGATAACTGACAGGCTGCCGTCAGACATGCGGCGAGAAATAATAACCCTAACTAACACCCCCAAGCTGACTCAGCTTGCCACGCCGCGCAAGCACCCTACACAGGGTGGGTCAAAAAGGGAACACAACAATTTTGTCGATTAAATTGTGGCAACGACTCGTCTTACATATCATGCTTGTTAATCACCATTAAAAACTTTCGATCTAAAAGCTATGCATTTTCACGGGCTATTATTTTGATAGTAGTTTCCGATCGAGTCATTCATGTCCAATTCCCTTCTCACGTGTCTATAATATTCTGTTATATTACAAATTTAGATTGTTTTCTGAACGTTCGATTAGTTTACGAGTTTGATAAATTTTGGATTATGTAGCGATCGAGCCTTAGATTGTTTGAATACTGAAGTTTTTGAAAAGAGATTAATCGGCGGTTAAGGAGATTTAAATCTCTCAAATCTTTTAATGTACCAAAAGTTTAAACCAAGCAAAAACCAGTATTTCTGTATGTACCAATCTATTAAAAATATAATCTAATAGATAGCAACGAGATGGGCTGTACTGGGTGGAACGCGGTTAGAGGAAATTCTTCGTCTAATTGTTATACGCGTACTGACAGCTTCGACGTGCCCGAAACACGCTTTTATACCTGCGTAGCACCTGGCCCACACCTACTCTATATCCAAGCTATTGTATTCGACACAGATGTGCGGAGTACGAATCGTCTTATCTTATAGATCTATCGGAGCTGCGCATCTTTGCATGCGTTCCGTGCTGTTCTCGTGCCGGCCTTACAGACAATCGGAAATGAAGTTGCGCTCGGAAATAACTTTAATCAAATAGCGACGTGAAAAAGAAACTCGGGATACCTCAGACATTTTTCCGGGCTGGAATGGGAAAGGTATTGCTGCTCGATTATTGTGGCAATGTTCCATAAATTATTCCATTAATTACAGTGTCGCAAAATAAGGTGATTACAGTCTCTAATTACATCTTGCCAACTAAGCATTTATTAAAATATCTACGCAAGAAATTATATCGTTTTAATTTGTTCCAAAATATCGCGATAAATTATTATTAAAATATAATTTGTGCTAATACATTAGGGAAAGAACATAAGAAAAATATTGATAAAAAAATTTAACAAAGATTACAACTCCGGTATTTAAGTTTCAATAGCTCCGTTTCGATTCTATCAGCGAGACTCGGTAAGATTTTTTTCTAACTTCTTTGCAATTTTTCATCGCACGCAGAAGAAAGCCGCTTGATTATAAGCAACAGTTACCTTCGAGAAGAACTATTTGTAACTAACTAGAATGGTGTGCGTATTTCCTTATACGATTCTTCCGCTCCATATACGCCTAACGCATAATGCGCGTATTTAATCCTCCTTTGCATTAAAGTTTCCGTTATAAGTGATAATTAGATTGTCTTATCGTTCTGAAATAAAAACGTACGCAACGAAACGTAAGTAAAAGGTTTAGAAGATTGAAGAAATCATTTTTGTTACAAAATTAAATATTCAAATTTAATTAGAATTATTGTTTGGCTTCCGCAGAATTAAAATAATAAGATAATGATAAGTAACATAGAGTCTAGAGGAACAATATCAAGAATAACGTTAGCACGAAGACAAATGGTCTATAAATTATTGATTTACTTGTCTAGTTGTTGCATTTTATTCACTCTGAAAGCTTAGACGTGACAAAAGCAGTTTAATTGATATATCATCCACAACATTTTAACATTGAAACTCATTCTGGAAACATCACGCACAATTACGTTAATACATCTTGTATAACGTGACATTGAGAGCCGAGAGATTTCGATCATCCCTCGACCTTTCGCCTGATCGGAAAATTCAATTAAACGATCCGCCCGGCCGGATCATAGTGCATAGAGGGTAACAAGGAAACCGAAGAATCCTTAAAATTGATTTCCCCGTCGTTCTCGTGGATCAAACTACTTGCTCGCCTCTAATTGCCAATTTCCTGATCATCCATCGCGAGTCCGCGCTCGAACGAGTTCTAAGTTCAAGTTCACGTTCTGAAATAGACGTGCACACCCCCCGCGTGCTTTATACACGAGAATGCATCGAGGCGCCGATACGTATGCCTGCGTATATATGCGCGGTGTCTATATCTGGACGCCGGTGCGAATATGAAATTGGACAGCCAAAGCCGTGTGGCGTAGTACCAGGAGCCGTGCGATGCATGCACACGTGCGAGTGCAGCGGAACGAGCGAGAGGCGAGCTTAATGATCGATCAACTCTGCACGGGTTACGCCAGGCGCGAGGCGAAGATCATATATCTCGCGCGGATGATCGATCGTTGACGCGCGCTTCGGAAAATGGGGAAACTTTCAGCGTATGAAAGAGAACATATGATTCTTTCGCATATTGTGCAGCGCTGCCGAAGCCCGTGAAGCTCCAAGTGAAAATGTTACTTGAACCTGCTTGTAAGCCTTGCAGGGAGAACATTGCATTGGAACCTCTAATTATGACATTCGTTATCGTGACGCGCGATGTCTTCCGTAACTGATTCGACGGCGTTCTAGAAATCTCAATTTTAGCCCCAGCGGGTTCTTTTACAAATTTTTGGATTTTTCGACTCTGCTATTTTTTAAAATTTGAGACGAGAAAATATAAGATATACAGTGCCTACTTTTGAGAGGAGAATGAAATTAATTTGGAAAGTATTTTATCAAAATTGATGTAATACCTGAGAGAAAAATTGTAACTTATTTCCTATCTTTATAAATTTACAAGTTTTGATACCTTGTACCCTTCATGCTTCGATCAGACGAAGCAATGTTGAATTTGCCATTGCAACCATATTTTGTAGTACTAGTAGTCTTTTCTTTTGTCTTCGATGCATCACAGAATCCTTTGTACATACTACATGAAAAATTATTATGGATCTATTTTCTCCAATTTTTAAAAAATTATTAAAAACTAGCTCTTCGCTTAAGAAAGGTAGAATTCGACAAATTTGATTATATTTTTAATCACGTATGCAGAATAACATTACACAACACTTTTCCTTTTCTCCAATCAATAAATTATATAGGAACGCGTCGTACAAGTAAAGAAAGGATTCTCAGACAAATTGTAAAATACAGTTTCTAATTCTGAAAACACTACATCTCTTAGAAGTTAAAAATATTGAATGCAGTTTATGCGCATAAATTCTATTCAAAGTTAAAAGAATGAAAAATTTCATTCTTTACGAAGCTCAACTTACGTCAAGGAAACTTTTTACCTTATAACTGATCCCTTCATCCTGTTCCAAAACTTTTACTGGCTGGAACGGCAGACGAGTGCAAGGAACTGTTGACTCGTAATATTTCTCCATTGTGCGATATTGGGATACAAATGTTGAGGCCGAAACGGCAGCTTCGGCCCAGGTATTATCGCACTTCCGCCGTAAAAGAACGGTCCTATTGCAAAGAAGAAACCTGAATCCGGGCTGAACCAGTTTCCAGGTCGGCTTTCGTGATCCGGGCTAATAGAAGCTCCACCTAGGGCGAGAGTGCATGTGCCTATCTAGCAAAAATACTCCAATTACTCGAGAACGCTGTCTTTGGCACACTTCCATGGAAGTTGCATAAGTTATCCTTTGTTGCCCCGCAGTCCTATTACGTATGCCTCAGCGAATTGCGTTTCCCAAATTGAACTGAGGCGGGCTTGAGGGAATCGTCTTTTTAAATAAATATTTATCGCGCAACGGGTCAATTCTAAACATTGTTAAATATTAAAATCTTCACTCAAACGCAGTTTACTAGATAAAAGTTTCTTTAGTTTTTCTATGGGAAAAGAGTTATTCGCAAATGCTACTTGTGATATATTGACAATCAGCATTTTCTTCCTGGGTATTTCTAATTTTTAAATTAATTCACTTATTCATTCTTTCTTCGAAAGCGCGAATAATTTCACGTGTTTTCTTTCAATATTGAACATATTAATTTTGTTATTTTTTTATGTATAAACAATAAGTTCCTTCAGCAGAAACAGTAGATTTATGTAACAAGTTTCTGGCAGCACAATATATTAGCGCAGTATTGGGAAATAATGTAAATCTAATATTCCCAACATTGTTGCAATATTGTAAGATACTGGACGCTATTTAGCCAGTATATATGTCTAGTCAGCAATATTGGTCTATTGCATCAATATGAGGCTAATATATTAGTCCAATATTCATATTATATTGCTAAATACTAGCCAATGCCCTGCCAATATAAATCTAATATTAGAATCACTATCGTGCAATATTTGCGTTTATTCCACGGCCAATATTGACTTTACACTGGAAGCCATTGGCCAATACATTAGACTAATACATTAGACCAATATTCATATTATATTGCTAAATATTAGCCAATGCCCTTCCAATATAAATCTAATTACTATTAAAAACTATTATAATCACTATCGTGCAATATTTGCGTTTATTCCACGTCCGATATTGACTTTACAGTGGGAAACGTTGGCCAACAAATTTCTAATACAATATTGGGCCAATATTTAGTCAATATGTAGCCAGTGCACTGCGCTGCTAGTATTTTTTCTAATTTTTCTGCTCTTAATTTGACATCGTATACCTGTGTGAATTTCAATTCTTAATATTTCACTTTAATTTAATTTGCCACACTCGGATCTGATGTTAACTGTTTTCTGAGCGAAGCAAATATGTAGGTTACAGTAAGCTTTGATCCATTAAAGCTCGCGCTAATAATTCAAACTAAAGTGTGCTTACGCAGTGGCCGCCGCGGGAGCGTCAATTCTGTTTTTTCGTTGCACATCGGACGTTAAACGAAGATAGAGCGATGCACCCGCGACGCTCACTGCGCGCCCGAACGCGCACGTACTCGCGGAGTAAAGGAATAACAGCGTACGACGCGTTCACGTCGAAACGTTACATTTATCGGCGCTTGTTTCACGCGAGACCGTCGTTGCCGAAATTTGAATATGGCGCGCTAGCCGTTCGCGCGCTTTCGCGAACGAAGCGAGCGATTCGCTGCGCGCGCAGCGCTGGCGAGTGCCGAGCGCCGAGCGGATCGTAGTCACGTCGTCCCTCATTTCTTGCAAATTTTTGGCCGCACGGCTGCGCAGATATTCGGAGATCCAGGTAATTATTCGCATTGATAGCTGCCGAGCCCGTTGATTTCCAAGTTTGCGGCGTGACGCCGCCGCGCAATCGCCGGATAAAAGAGCGGAGCTGAAATTGGTGTCGCGCGGCCGGCCGCGACGTCAGACGCAAGCGATCTCGATCTTGTCTCTCCGGCGCAGAATTTCGAAATGTCGAGGAAAATGAGACGCGGCTGAGGCTGGCGTAAATAAGATCGAGGTATATCCGTATAGCGACAGCGCGGGGTCCCTTAATGCGCTTGGGATGGCGGGCTTCTAAAAGATTCAAGGCGCCGGTCTAAAAGATTCAAACATGGCTGCGCCTAATAGACGCGCGGGCGGGACGAGCCGGCGGCGGTCTGTGCAGCGCGCAGCGAACCTCGGCTCCTCGGTCGCCGGGAAGGATCTCGGATGTCCTTTCCGCGTCCAGGCTGTTTCGTTTGCATCGCCGCGATATCGACGCGATATCGCCGAGAGGCTTAACGCGCGGCGAGATGAAGGTATAATATTCGGCTGAGGAAATTGACTCGCGAGTGCTCGCGGAATTGCGTCGCTGCCCTTTGCGAGACTAGAAGCAGCAACGAAGGAACGCGAATCGCTGGTACCCAGTGAGAAATGATTCGTCGATCGACGCCGAAATGATGTCGAATCGACGTCAATTCGACGGTGTCGATGTCGATTCGACATCGTTTCGACATCGATCGACGAATCATTTCTCACTGGGTAGTTGATTAGCGATAAGAAGAATTGTTGGGCGACTTGCCGGCAGATGCGGCAAGACCGTCTTAAGATTATCTCGAGAATATCATTTTAAGATCATTTTTCGTAGCCACTGAAACGTTCCATCTTTAGATAAATTCCCGACGGTCTTGAATAGAAGATCCGACTATATTGTCTTCGTAAATAATGAGCTATTTTTAATAAACAATTATAAAAACATTTTTCTTTTGACACGCAATTTCGGACAATAAATCGCAAAATAATATTTCTCCGAGCGACGCCCCGAGACGGATGTCAAACTCCCGGTGCTTTTTAGTTTAATATCAATGACGTAATATTATTGTTGAATTCCTTGAAAAGGACCGCAATCCGTATGGAAACGTCGGATTTAAATGAAGAAATCGTCTGCCAGCCTAACGTCGTCCAGCAATTCTTTTTATAAGAAGCAACGTGGGATTAAATTGAAACAGGGGATAAACGAAAGAGCGAGACGCCCAATCGCGGGTGGGTGAAATCCCCGCGGCAGGTCCGGGTAATCCGGTTAGCCATATCGATACACAATGCATCCACGTAGCGCGTGTTCCATTAAAAGGCAATACGCGAGATTGGAAATGAACGGGCGAAATGTAAATTGACATCGCAAATATCGCAGCGAGATTACCAAACAGTTGGGTAAAAAATAATTGTGAAATAACATCAATAACGGCATTAGCAATACACGGCGGACGGGGGAGAGGGGGGGGGGGGCAAGCACTCCGGTTATTTTTCCGTCGTGCAAATAAACGGCATTGTAAAACTCGACGTAGGCATAAACATGTTGATATTTGTACAGTATTACATTCCTCGTTTACCATAAAATGGAGTCTGGGAAGCATCACGCGGACTACGCTATATGGTACAAAAATAATTTAATTCGCGCACGAGTGTTCACAGCATCGTATAAATCATACAGGCAGAATCGATAAATACTAAGGTGATATTATCAAGTACGGAGGTTTGTACAATGTTGGGAGATGCGAGATCCGCTTCGACGACGAGTGTAAATTGTAAAAATCTTCTGGCATTCGACACCAATGGGTGGGCTTCATTCCACGCAAAACGCACTTCCAAGTTAACGCGTACGTAAACGCAGTGTAACATGTACACGCGCGCGTTCTATTGAGCCTTGGACTTCTTCGCGGCGCCCTTCTGCGATCTCGGACGTTTGCTCGGCTGGTCCGCCTTCGATTTGTCCCTAAAGTCATATTTCTGCGCCAGCTTCTCCCTGATGAGCAAACCCCTGATAAGCTTCCGCCAGTTGCCGTAGACCTTCTTCCTCGTCTTCTCGGCGGCCCGTTTAGCCGCCTCGATCTGCTCCGATTCCCAGGCCTCTCGCAGCGTGTCCTCGTACTCGGCGCACACGACGTAGCCCTCGGTGGCTGGCACGGCGCCCATGCAGCCGAAATTGAAGCCCACCACGGCAGTCGCGCAATCTATGTTCAATTTCCGCGCGACGCGGTTCAATCCTGGAACTGTAAGGATTCGTTCATTGAGTATGCATCGGCGTGCATCGCGACGCTGCGACATTCAATCCCTCGATCTTGCAATATAAAGTAGAGTTCTCTGCCAGCATTTTTTTTCTCTAATCCTCTAACAGTCCGCCATTCGTTTTGCCGTGAAATAATTCGCTGGCGACGAATGTCAAGGAGATGCCCCACTGATAGTGCGGAGGATACGTTGTACTTACGGTTTATGTGCACTGTGCCTTTCGGAAGCATACATTTCTTAAACAGATCCACATTCCCGTACTCGTTGCGAGGCACAACACCGTCCTTGGCCTCGGGCGGGACGTAGTCTGTGGTCTGCCACTCTCCGAATATCTCCAACGCGGCGTCCTTGAGTCTCATGCCTGAAAGCTGCCGAAATGTTCGTTACAATTTTCACAAAAGTGAGGCTAAACGGCGCTCGCCGCGTAGCTTCCAGTAGAATTCCAGGTGCATCGCGGGATCTACCTTGTCATACTTGGGAAGCGCCTTAACTATCTTGTAGGGCTCCTGCTTCGGTTTGACCACCCGGGCTTTCTTCAGCCAAGTCTCCCGCGAGCACAGCGTGTGCACGCAGTACCGCGAGTAAATAGCCTCGCCGGTTTTCAGGTGTCCCAACGGCACGCAATCCGGCGGGTACAAGGCCTCGTATTTAAGTAAATGCCTGACGAGAACGTACAGCGGGTGACCTTTGCACTCGCCGACGGTTTTAGGCAGCGGCTGCTCCAATTCTCTGCGAAAACAGCAATGCCAACCCAGATAACATGCTTGTCTAAAAGACATCTTCAAGGCTTCTTTAAGACGTCTTTAAGATGTCTCTTAGACGTGTATGTCTAAAGACATCTTAAAGATGTTTTTTTAGACATGCATGTTATCTGGGAAGTTGCACCTCTCGACATTCGTCGCAGTTACGTTCAAATAAGCGGGACGGAGTTAAAAAAAAAACAATGTACGACCGGAAAGGAAAGAAGAGAGATTACTTTTGCAGCAGCAGTTCATCCTCCTGCCTAGACATGGCCGTCTCCCTTTCCTGCCAATAACTTAGGGTCTCGGTCCACCATTTCTCATCGATACGCTGCTTGCGCGTGACAGAGAGCCACTGCGGGCAGTAGCGCCTCGTGACATCCTTTATTAAACTTTCCGAATTGTAAGCTATCACATATAATACTGGCTTGGTTGCTGCTTTCTGAAACGTTAGTACATGACAATGAGTTTACGCCGGTATCTCTTCTTCGCGCGCGGAATTATCGAAACAACTGTTTCGCAACAGGCTTCGGCCTCTCCGCCACTTTCTCAGGCGTCACTTACATATATCTCGGCCACGCAATCCACATTTCCGTCCATAACGTTTACGCAAATCCAGCTCGCTTTGGACTCCACGTACACCTCGGCCCACACGTCCCGTCTCTTCCTCAACTTATTGTCCGTCTCTTCGTCGTCCGTGGACGCTTGCGCCTCCTCATTCTTTCCTTTAGACCCGACGACTTTGTTCCTGCTGCCGCATTTCCGCTTCGATTTGCTGGACGGTTCTTCTGCTCCCTCGGAATTTGAGCCGTCACTCCGCGACTGCCTCTTAGAATTGCTCGCTCTAGGCCGATTGTCTTCCGACGTAGTCTTGGCAGCGTTCCGTTGTTCGGCCGAGGTAGACGCAACGCCGTGTGCTTCGCGAGGTCTTAAACGCCTCGGCGACGGACCGGTCTCTGCCTTCCGCGAACTCGAAGCCGTCTCGACCCTCGTGGACGTGGAAGCGGTCTCGCGCGCGGACGCGTCGCTGTTCAACTTGTCCCGACTTTTCTTGCCGTACGAGTACTTGGAGCGAAGGATCTCCGCCGCCTTTTTCTTCGCGTCGGCGTTAGCGTTTCTTCGCGCGGCCTCGTCGTTCCGAATCGCGCTGCTACCCGCGAGATCTTCCTTCGATCTCGCGCTTTTCTTGCCTCCCTTGGACGCCACCTTGGCTCTCGTCGCCTTCGTCTCTTCCTTGACTTTACCGTCTTTCTTCGCCGCGCTGGGCTTGGGCAGCAGCTCATTGCAGGCCTTCACCAGCGGCGGATTCAGAGACACCACCAAACGGCAGTGCAAGCCGATGCCGCGCAGTACCGCCACGTACAGTATCACCAGTTCCCTGTAATTGTAAATTCTCTTCTCCGCGAGTCGCTGCAACAGCGTCTCCTTGTTTATGACGACTTGATCGTCGCCGGCGGCCTCTATCGCGAACGTACCTTTAAACCACTTTGTCAGCTTCTTCAGGTACTCCAGGTCAAAGTTGTCCTTCGGATAGCTCTTGGTCGAGACGAGCGACACCGCCGTCGCCATCACCTCGGGATCGCACGCCTGGCGGCTCAGGTGAAAGCCGTACGCCAGCCAGCAGAGTCTGCCCGCCTTCTCCACGACGATCTGATTGGCCTTCAACCTCCTTCGTAGAAGCGCGGCCAGATCCGACTCCCTCTTGCCGCTCGCTCTCTTCCGGAAAACCGCACTCGTGCCCGGCAACGTGATCCTCACACCCTCCTTGGGTATGGCATAATCTTCAGGGCGTTTGACGTCCCCCTCTGGCTCCTCCTCGTCGCCCGTGTCCCCGTCGTCCTCGTCGAAGGCCCGCGCGCCGCTCTCCCCTTGGAGCAAGACGGCGTTTATCTCGTCGGATATGCTGCCCGCCCGCTTCTCGACCCTGGCGGCTCTGTCGTTCCCGGAGGAGCCGCGCCCGGGCTCCTCCTGGTCGACGCGAGCCCTCTGCGAGGCCTCGAGGTTCCTCACCACCTCGGAGAACAGCTCGATGTCGCTGCCCTCGGGCACGCTCGCCAGTGTCTCGTCGTCGCTGCTCTCGTCCTCGCTGCCGTGCCTCACCAGGCTCGGCCTCGTCGCCGGCTTAATCGTGAAGAAGCTCGCCGTCAGCTCGTCCTTCGGCGTGATGCCGGCGAAATCGTTGCTGCTGTCGGAACTGTCATCGTCGGACTCGTTCATAGTCGCCGGTTATCCTGCAAAATGCGGGCCTCGTTAGTCCGCCGCTACTTGTTACCGCTCGTTATTGTCGTACCTGCCGTGGTCCGGGCCCGCCCTTTAAATTGATTTCTCTGCCGGCCAAGAAAGAGCCAAGGACCGCACCAGCTCTTGCCTCACGCGTCGCAACGTGTATTTACACGAGAAGACACCGCACGTGCGTGACAAGAGCCGCGTGAGCGCACTGTTATGAAACAGGTAGACTGTTCTTATATTATCTTCTAATGATACACAAGCCTGCTGGCTTACCGATAATGGCGAGTGTAGCGCGCGAGCGTTTCGTTTCACAGTTCAGCTCGAGATGACATTCTGACCCAAGCAATGGATTAAAATGCGATTTTTACAATATAAATTATTAAAGTAGGATTTGTGTCAATAATGCGTGTATATAAATTTATTCTGTACAGAGAACGAAATGAAAAAATTGGAGGATCAGAGAGCTAAGTTAAATAATAGAATTAAATTATTTGTGACAAATGTGCACGTTTGGATTTCATTCTGGGCGCAAAAGAAATTTTGAGATGGCATTGTCTAATTCAAACTTGCATGCGTATTAATTATCCAAGTGTTTATCAATTTTATCAAATTATTTGGAAAGTTTTGGCCGACGAAAGTAAGATATAAAATCAAGTTTTTGAAATATTTGCTATCTCGTGAATATTTTAGATTGACAGCAACAAAAAAATTTTTACAGCATTCCTCAAATATTTCTTTAATAATTTTATATGTATTTGGAAAGTTTTGGCCGACGTAAGATATAAAATCAAATTTTTGAAATATTTGCTATCTCGTGAATATTTTAGATTGACAGCAACATTGTAAAAAATTTTTACAGCATTCCTCAAATATTTCTTTAATAATTTTATATATGCATTCTTATGATATTTTGCAGTAGATTTAATTATTACAGCATGTTGCACAATCTTTGTCGATTTATAAGGAAAGAATACAATTTTTCACCAAGCTTTTTTTTATTGTCATTAAAATGTATCTTATGAATACGAGTTATCAATTTTCTAATATTTTCGAAACGCATTCACTTGACTTGAACCTTTTCATAATAATGTTAATAAACCGACTTTTGTGGATATGATGGATAGACCGTAACGTTGACAACAAAGCCAGTTTGCCCGGCGTCCATTTATTCTTCGCTTTACACGCGACAGTGAAATTTATATCCTTGCATAACAAAAGCTGGAGATTTTATGAAATATTACTGTAACAACGATCTCCTCTTGGTGAAAAAATTGCGGAAGGTATAGCGTGACGGGAAAAAGCGCGCGCTAAATAGGAGAAATTAAGTGCACGCGGTAGCGTATAAATCTTGCAACATTGGGCTTTTCGCTGCGTCGAAAGACGTCGTGCGCGCTTAAACTCATCGACCACTCGAATGATTCCTGGAATTATCTTGAAACTAGAATACACGGAAATATTAAGCGCGATTAAGCACGCAAAAAGATTAAAATAGCTCGGCGTAGTTAGATTTTTCGAATGGAATTTCTACAAGGGAGTGAAGTTACCCAGTGAAAAGTCTAGTCAAAATGACGTCAGTATGACATCAAAATTGTTATTTGCCGGCATTGCGTCAAGGAAATATTTTCAACACGCTGAAAAATTGACACTATCTATAATGACGCTGTACGGGACAAAAGATCATATGAAAATAGATGTCTAACTATAGATGTCTATCTCTCATTGTGATGAGACAATATTTCACTTACTCTGTTATTTTCTCGAAAGGGACCTCCGGCGTTGTTTTGTAGCATGCATTGCAATTTCTATATACTTTAGACTTTTGAAGTTCTCATAATCGCATTTATTTTGCTTTATAAATTATTTTTATATTTTAACATACAAGTTTCTTCGACGTTTCTTTGACTTGTTGTATATACATCCTTTGTCTTGCGTTTGAACAATTTTTTCATAGAGCAAGTATTTTACGATGCGTTTATTCCTGTAGAGAGTAATTGTTTACTTTTGAAACAAGCATCAAAATGACAGTCTCAATCAAGGCGTGGGACGTTTTGCAGCCAAATTATCATAACTTTGCCATTAGTTTGACTATTCGTATCCCTCATCAATTTGATGGCATTTTGATTAGACTGTTCTCACTGCCCGAGGAGAACAAAAAGTCAGGATAATGTCAATTTGATGTCATGTTGACCAAATTTATGTCAAATTTTGGTCAATTCGATGCCATATTGACCAAAATTTGACACAAATTTGGGCAATATGACATCAACTTGACATCATCCTGACTTTTTCTTCTCCTTAGGTGGGTAACTAATAAGTACTTAACATTTATATTATCTCGACAGCGTAGCATCGTTTAAATTTGATTTCTCATAATTTTTTATCTGTTAACATAGCGCTGTTAATTTGGAACTTTATCGGCTTAGCCTTCCATCATAGATGACTTTGCAGTTATCGACGTTTCGGGGATCGAAGAGATTATCTCTTTTTTTTTCCATTTTTGTTCTCTAATGCTTGTAATCGAATCGACATGTAATGGCGCAACGATGGATTTTCCGCTGCGGAGTGCTGCGTGTAGCAGCGACTCGCATTCTTGATTATGAATGATGAATTATTTCGATAGTAGCGCACTAACGTTTTATAAATAATGAGCAAACAGACGTGCCCGTCCCTTTTGCGGCGTCAGCGGCTTCCTCCGTGCGCATGCATCGCCTCCGGCAATTTATCGGGATACGTCGAGTTTGTCAGTATCTCGTGCACCTGCACTCTCTGAATATGGCTCGACGTAATGGATAATTGGCGATCGGATGGCCGGTGTACAATACCTAAGTGCATTTATGTGTAAAGCCAGCGCCGACATTTGCCTTGTTCGGTCACATTTCAAATCCAATGTAGCATGGAATCCGATAAACTGCGAGCAATAAAGCACGTGCGTGACTTAGAATGTTCCGTTCCCGCGGCTTAAAATGGCGAAAGGATTTCAAGCTCGCCATGCCTTCTCGCAACCTGTCAATTATTAAATATCTCGTTTAAATAATCTTTCGTTAAAATGAAGTGTACGTAGAACGGAAAATAAGCTTCCAGTTGCGAGAGAGAGAGAGAGAGAGAGGAATATTTTCATTTTTATAGCCTGAACATTGTCGATGTTTTGATGCTGAAACGAACGGTATTATTTTCAGATTTAAATTATTCATGGTCAAAAGGAAGCGATGGATGCTTGGAACACCGCGTATCTTAATATCAGCGTGCAGAGTTTCTGACAAAGGTATGTGCATAAAGTTATCGAAACCAAACCTTTAACGGAGAGAACGGATCTCTCTATATCGTACAAAGCCGCCACGTAAATAGCCGGATGCATATACATGAATTTATGAAGATCCATTTGTGGGTATCGATTGTAAAAAAAGAAATGCTTAACACACGGCGTTGCATTTCGTTTAGATGGTCGTTACGATCGTTTTAACGTTCCCTCGATGAAGACTGACCTGATAGCACAATGCAATTTTAATGAAATTATAAATTACAAATTACGCGGAGATGGAGAAAAATATGTTTACTACTCACGTGGGATATTCGGGTATAAAACAACCGTGTCTTATATTTTATGCTTCAAATTTCCAACCTTTTAAAGCTCCTTTTTTTACTGTGTTTTTCATATTCCAGTAGCTTCATTATGGAGTGTACCTCATTATAAAGTATACGCGTATGATTATCTCTTACTTGATATATTTTTTATTATGCGAATTATAAATTCAGAAAAACATGATATTCTGGAAAATTGGAAATTATTGCGATACTTTGTCCACTCAAGTTGGAAATTTCACAGCTAAATTATGTACATTATGGATATATCCGGCATATAAATGCATCGACAAATTAAGAAAGTGCCAACAGTCATTTGTTCGTACGGAGTTCTATCAATATTAACGTGTCACATTGGTTTCGCATACTGATGAGATTATTAAATATACCTGTTAGGCATAGGATGTACCTACTGGAATTTTTATGACTGGTTCGATAAGCAAGCAGTAGGTTTTCCGTGAAAAGAACTTTTCCGCTTGTTCTATAGAATATTCCCTAGTGATATAAAATTTTGAGTATGCAATCTCATTTATTTTAATGACACTACGTAATGCGTAATGTGCATTTACTACGTCTATACGTACAGCTTTACCTTGATATTGTTCCGCTATACGAGGATATGAGATAATTACAGCTTGCACAGCTGCTCCGAGATATGGTTTGTTCGGAAGCTGGATCGAGATGTAGCTAATCCAAATTGCGTTTCCGGTATCAAGCATTCGTTAAGACTTTTAATTACTCCCAAGCCACTTTCAAGTATAAAGTTTCTAATTAAACACTGTTAAACTCTGTGAAATCAGTTTCAACTCTTTTTTGGTTTAAATGCATATTTAAGGAACTAGTTGCGACGAAGCAATTACGGGAGCTGCGACGTTTGATTTAAAGATACCGATTCCAAGGTTTAATCTGCGTCGGAAGTTTAAATAAAAAAAAGAAGGGAAAGAAAAGAATAGACGGTGTCGCGATTGTTTGTAAAAAGACACTCTCGGTGCATAATATTAGCTTGTTAACGACAAAAAAAGATCGATACTTATTATTATTCATGTCCGATTATTCGAGAGCATACAACATTATCATTTGCATACACACACAGGAGACTCCTTTCTCTTTTCACATCGCTTCTTTATACGTGGGGGATTTTTTACAAATTAAACTCTAGGGGTGAAAACAGACGAAACTTCTTATCTTCCACTTAAGAGAAGCAGATCAACTTTGTTATAATAGAATATTAATTTGCCAATCGGTTAAAATGATATCGGAAATTGAGTGTTAAGAAGCTGCGGGGGGAAGGACAGTTCAATTAGATTAATAAGTTCCCTTCGGAAACTTTAAATTGTTCAAAGAATTTCTAAGTGGAAATGAGAACGAACAACTCAAGACATTCCATATATCTGCAACTCGAGAAACATAATTTTTAGGTGCGTTGTTTTTTCTACGCGCCTAATTGTTAAAACAGCATGGCCTGTTATACAATACAATACATAAAGAATAAATTTTCTCATTAGACCATCAGCTACGTCCGGACATCCGACAGCGACATACGACGTACAGTATAATAGACCTAATAGTTTTATCCACGCTAATATACATCAGCTGTTGCAGCATGCGGATTTACAACAACAAGACATTGCGAACCGCGACACGTGTCCCGATGTAATTTATAATACTTCGTCGTTGTTAGTTAAATATTAAGGTCGATAAAAACAACGGTGTTGCTTAAATGACCAGGTCACGCGAAAATTAAACGTCATTCGTAAGCTCAATCGGAAACAAATAACCGATAAAAACGATATTTGCCCGCGCTTAAAATTATTTCAACGTATTGAGAGATAATGCAAACTTTACACCGACGTAATAATGTATACAGTTCAACTTCACGCTTGATATCAAACGCGAAGAGATTATACAATATTTCTAATAAAAAAAAAAATAACAAAAGAATCTCTTTGGAGCAATTTTATCATTGCTCTCTATCATTTGTAATTAATCTACACAGTTTCATTATGTCCGGTGTGTAGGAAATAATGTCATTTTCCTGAAAACAATGTCGTTTTATTAAAAATCCGATATGTTATAATTTTACAGGGAATATTAAAAATTAATAAATTTTTTTTTAGTTCATTACTCGTATGGTCGTTGTACAAGTATAAGAATATCGGTGAGATATTAATCTTCGGTTATTCTTACTTTTCAACTACCGCCACGTCATTTTCCAAGTGCTTACACTTTTAATCTTAAATATAATTTATAACTAATGAATTAATAATTACCTCTCGCTTCCGCATCGTCTTTAGATGTAACATAGAAATTCGAGCATGTTCGAGTAAAGACAGTTATACATAGAAGACTATTATATGACACAATGAAAATAATTGTTCCTACAATGTATATTAATCTTACAACGAGTTGCACATCCCGTTATCGTAACGTCGATGATAACAACGCAATTAAATAAAATAATTAATAAAATACAATTACAAACTCGATATTATTACGCCTCGTGTAAAAGAACGAAAGGATTATAGATGGCTTATATCAAACAAGATATTAATATTACGTAGACAGTAAAAGACTCGAACGTGCAGTTTCGCGTTCAATAAATATTTAGATGTTAGGTTGGGCAATTCGACGGGACATTTAACAAATATTTTATCACGCTCTATCTTAAGACAGAAGAACTCACATAAATATTCGTGACAATGTCAGTCCTTTATCATTCTCACTTATTTTATTTTACCTTGTCCCGAGTTTTCTTCGAAATTCCACGTTTGTATTTATGTACACCTTACATACGATACAGTTTCGCTTTTGAGAAACGCGGAACGACGTATTGGTAGATCAACGACGTCTTTGAAAGTGGGGAGCGCCCTTGCCTTTGTTAACGCCGTCAAAAGGCTTCGAGAAACACGAATCTCCCAATTGATCCTCGTAATTGGCTCCCAACCTAACGTCACGTTCTTAGTACGAAACATGTTTCTTCAAACAAACGCATATATAACGCACCTATAGAGACTTTCCAAAAGTATACAGTTCACAACGTACTTCAGATACGAAGATCATTTAACGTGTCGACCGACGAACCGCAATCTTCATTAATCATATCGTTTTTGTTTTTTTTATCAATTCTCTTCGCGGGGTTGATCAACGAACATTTTGCTATCCGCTACAAACAACACGCAACAGATTTGTAGGATGATATCAGTGCTGATTTCTTTTATAATAAGCATATTTGCTGTTTCTTTCTAATGAATCTCTATCACGAAAGGGGAACATTACTTGCAGGGCCTAAGCTAGCTAATAGGTACAAGATTGCATAGAGAGATAATGTTTCTGTTCCATTGCTAACGTGAAGAGGGTTTAGCTTGATATCATACTTATCGTATAACTCATTTCAACTAAACGAGGACATTACTTATCTCATAAGAAGATTTGCTTCAGCCATTTTGCTGGATGTAATAGATCATTCCTTAATCCAGATACTTTTTTTTCCGCTGAAATGGAGAAATTATTCGCATTTTTTCGTATGATAAATTAGTTTGCGAGTGAAATTAGAAAAGTTGTACATGATTTTGCTAGAAAGAAATCTAAAACTATTGATTTACGATTTGTTCTCGAGTCTTATATCTTTATCACAATTTCGTAAGAAACTTTGCAATCTGAAAAACATTCTTTCCAATTTCTTTCAGAGATTTACGATGCAGGGGATTAATAATTCTGTAAATTTTTTAACTGGGAACAAGTATTAAACCTTTGTGCGCTCCAACATTTAGAAATACTGCGTTAACACACTCAATTAGTAATTTTATTGTATAGGTGAACTTTTTTCTCTCCTTACTAACAGAAGACATGTTAGAGACTAAACAGTTAACAGATTAAAAAATAAATTATACATATAGTTCATACGTTTCTACGGTCACAAAATATTTAGTTTTGTTCTGTAAAGAAAAGTATATAATTAGAAAGTATACGTGATAATGGAATAAGAGACAAGGCATTATTAAAATAATTATAAAATTGAAAATCAAAGTATAAGAGTAGAGTATTCGCGCAAGCAATCCGATGGCTCTTAACAATGCTAATTGAAAATGAAATGCGAAAAAGTATAAAGAATCAACGTCGAGGAGACGGCAAAGGCCCGCAGAGATAGAATCCGCGACCACGACAATTTGTCGAACCCAGTTGTGGGCGGACGCAAATAAAAATCCAACTCCAATGGGAAACTTTATGCGTTCGTGCGACTTACACGGCGATTTTATACAAGACGATAAAGTTTTGCCACAAATGGAAGGTAGCGATTAATCGCAGCAATTCCCCGTGTCGCGTGGTAATTGCTGCGATTTGGTCCAAGAGTGCTTTATCGGACAGTCGAGAGTGATTTAAGGAAGTTCTAATTTATTGCGGTTGACACAATTCACAGATTTTTATTTCGTAATCCGTCGCTCTTGCGGTCTCTCACGATCGATAAGGGTATCGAGCGCGTCGAACGTGCAATAAACGCAAGCGCGAGATTGAAAACGCGACAATTCGATTATTGTGCGTGTACTGCGCGCTTCTGCAACCAAGAACGGACACCACTTTTTTTTCGTACTTTTTCTCGGACGGACGTTTGATATTTCGAATTTTAATAACGCGCCGATATTTGAAAGCTTCATTCTGCAAAATTTGATCAAATAGTCCGATTTATTATTGTCCAGCGAGAGTTTTTAATTGAAATATACATTAAACATTTTTAGACGTAAAATCATTTTGAAAGAATACTTTCAAAAAGAGAGACATGATTAAGAGCGATATTTTTCGCGATTGCGTTTTTAATGCCATTAAAATAGTGTACAGAAAGACTAAAAAATTAAGGTGACTTATAAGAAATTTGTTAGATATTTGTAGAATATTTTAGCATGTAAATATATAAAGATAAATTACAAGATATTTTAAAATACTTAGGAAATTTCTAAAAAGTACGTATTACAAAATTATAAAATGCACGCTAGAAATGTAACAGTTCTTTTCGAACATAATTTACGGTAATGTTAGCGATATAGATAATTAATAATAAAAAAAACATTGTTGTGGCAGTAGCGTCGTGATTGTAATTAGAAAATTAATATTTTATAATAAGGTCTTCCGCAAAAGTTTTTTGCAGAAAAAGAGGTACAAATAGCTTTAGAGGGAAATACTTTGGTTTTTTATCATCTTTTAAGGGTAAAATGCAAATTGTGAATGTAATTTGCATTTAACTTGAGCGAAAGAAGAAGAAGTTGCATCGCGGAGATTTTTTTAATCTTCAACTAGATAACTGTGAATCGCAAAGTATGTCCTTTGGGCGACGCAAATTTTACATCTCGCATTGCATTGTTAATTATGTTAATCACTGCGCTCGTTTTCACGGCGGAGCTTTCAAACAATTCCATGATAAAGTCGTCTATCAGGTCTGCGGGTTAGTAAAAACAGTATGCCAACTTTTATATTAATCCATACGTAATTAAAATGGGTATTTCATTAGTCTACTTTTTGTGATCTTCATTTTTTATTTTCATTGACACGGGAAAGTTAATTTATTGTTTATGTTTATAATTTTTTATATGCATATATTTTCTAGTGTATAACAAATATGCGAAATGTGCCGCCTTTTCAAGTGAAATCTGTTGAAGATATTATTTTGAACAACAATATTTTACAATAGTTAAAAACATTTCTGCAAACAAATAAAAAAAGATATAACCGAAATAAAGTGGAAAGTGCGTTTTCAGTATAAAAAAAATATTGAAATTTTTTAAAGAGATATCCAATAAAAAAAATCTGTTAAATCTTTTAAATCTCTAGAAACAAAATAGGTAGCTGTTCGAATACCATCTTGTTGCGCCAATCTGCATTAGGAGAGTCTAAACTATTTAAACTACTATTTCGCTGCATTTTCTGAAGAAGCATGACGCCTTTGGTTAACTGTTTACGACGTAGTTAAGTTAGTTACGTTCTATTTCCTGTAGCAAATTATGCTGCACTGCAGCTTGCACGATGCATCGTAATGATCTTTGTCTGCAAATTTTAAGCAATTTAAACTCAGCTTAATAGGCACACTTATGTTTCAATTAGACTGTGCTATTATCAATTCATTTGTAGCTTGATAATCTTCACTTTTTTTTTATGACTGTTAATATTAACTGTGCAAAATTTAAATAGAACATTATTAATGCATATAACATCAATTATTAATAACGTGAGATTTTAAATAGTCGATCAGAATATGCAATAAACGCGAAGATACAAACTAATTATTTTCACAGTATAAATCGATGTTGGAGCGCGGAATTAACAGAAATTGGAAATAATGAAGAAACTTCTCGATAACTATACGTGGATTTTAGGATTATTTTATATTCTTTGATAATTTTATATGAATTTGAAAACAACAAATGAGACTTGTTGCGAAATAATGTACAATTTTCTAATTTTTACACGTTTTGCTATAATTAAAAATTTATAACGAATGAGCAACTGTGCTTGCGAAAATTTCATTCATTTTCGTAACAAGGTTTTCATTTACTGTTACAGTCATCCCTGAAAAATTGATAATTTTCTAAACGAAGACATCTTAAATGTAGAAGTACGATGGCATTATAAAATTACTAGTGGCAATAATCCTGACGTTTTCGCATATCTATCACATTTGTTTTTAAATATAATTGTGCGTATCGTCAATTCGACGGCAGTCAGACGCGTTGTAATGTAACTAACTAAGTAACATGCAAAATTGAAAAGAAACATGTTGGAAAAACATAACGACTCGCCAACTAACTTAAACAAATATTTATTACACATCTGGTGTGTCGTACGTCCAGGACGGCGAAGCCGGCGCTTGAAGACGCCCCGGGCGTTGTAAAGTTCGCAACGACGATGCAATTAAGACCGGTGGCAGTAGCGAGCAAATAAATTTCACCTCTCTTTGCTTACCGCCATGTTGGCGGGCGGAGGAAATATTCCCTTTCTATTCTCGCGGACATGTAGTACACGTGTCTAAAAGGAAGCTAATCAGCGAGCTCTTTTACACCGGATAGCAAAAGGTCCGTCGATTTCTTCGACGCTAGACCTGGGTGACTTGGGTCACCGTGTGATTGGTCCCGGTGTGCCCGTTGTTCTCCATCGGTTGATGCGGCACCGCCATCCATCTGCCGATTAATCGCCATCGATTGCAGAACAGCTGATTGAAGGTTGTGCGGAATTGTCGACTCATGGCGCAATACAAGATGAAGTTGATGGCCGAGTTTATAAGTGTCAGAATGTCTATCACGTCGCCTGTCGAGAAAAGAAACAAACTTGATTAGTAGCAAGTTCAAAATTGCCGAGAATGATTTAGCTTCAGAAACTTTTCCATCAACTCTTTGAACTTTTGAATAAATTTTTGAGAAGTTTGCCTCTGGAATTTGGTACGTAAGTTTCTTGTTGATAGAGAGGAGAAAAAATTCTAAAGGGATCTTTAGCGATCCGGAAATTAAGACGCTCTTTTAATGATCTCCCGTTTACCAACCAGTCAACTAAATTTTACCTTGAGACTTGGCTTTATATTATGGAACCGCAAATTAAGCGATCATAATTAGAGAGTTAGCGAAAATTAAAAAAATCTTTCTCTTTATCGAAAAGAAGTATCTATGTACTAAACGATCGAAAGTGGATTAGCTTAAAAAGTCCGAGTTTCCTGGAATCTCTCTTATTTTCATTCAAATGCCTATACGCGTTAGGTTTCGAAAGGCTCAAAGATGTGAGTGTGGGAGCTTTCTCTTATTTTATTAAAATCCTTCCCGCCGTCTTTTGCATTAGGGCTTACAGAAATGTGTTTCTTTTCGTGTGCTTGTATGCGCATACTTCGACAGTTTCGCATCCCTTTTTCGCCCTTTATATCTTTATCTTCTTTTAATTTTGAAGAGATCACGTCATCCTCGTTTCTTCGAATACGAACAAATGCAGGCGCGTGGCGCGAGTCGAAAACAATCAGAGCTATCGTCTCGATTTTGGTATGGGCGAGTGGGCCGGACACATGACTTTTCGCGCGACGAGAGACGCCTGACATATAGAAATGCCATAAATAAAACGATGTATTTTATAACACTTCATACACGAGAAAGCATGCAGTTCGGTAGATACATTCTCGACATGCTTCCGAGATTGAATGGAAGTCTCCACATACCATTTCAAATTCTTTCGCCGGAACGATGAAATATATAAATTTCAAACACAAAGTATAGTTTCTAAATACAAGTACCATCATAAATCGTTAGGTTAAAAGATATTGCAGCATTTCCGCGAGTTTAATATTTTTATCAGGTGATTTCTTTTCGCTGTGAGAAATTTTACGCAACAATGTACGCGCCTCGTGAATTCTTATAATTTTATATTCATTAATAATAATACACGACACTTGTCGTGAATGTTACATTTGAAAAAAATGTCATGACTATTCAAGCACTTGTTAAATCTTAATCTCCAAGTCCCGTTGATAGTTTCAGCGGCTTGGCTGGAAATGTGATTTAACTTTGTATCGCTTGTAACCTATCGCTTTTAAATATCAGAATTTAATTGACTTAATATTAAAACTGTTCGTGTAAGCTGAAAGAAATAATTGATTTTTCATGTAGAGTTATTATAACTTTATATTATGACACAGTTATCTCCTCTGATTATTGATAATATTTAATCGGATTTTAACTGGAAATACGCTTTCCATAAGAGCATTTGTGCACGTTTTATAACATCTACTTATTTTTTTTTACTAGATTTACGTGCACTGTAAATATTCGTATTTTTGCACTTTATCTTACGCGCAAATATGTATTGAAATTATCTGAATAAAGAAAGAGTAGGCATTGCTTTGAGTGGATAATCTAGTTTTACCGTCATTTCTACAGAGTTAATAGACTTATATAACTAATAATCTCGTTTCTTAAGTATATTTTCTGATTCTTAAATATATTCCTTTATTCTTACGTTTTTGAATATATATATATATATATTTTTGTTATTATAAGATTTAAGAAATGAGTTGTTTTATCTGGTTTTAAAGTTTGCAAAATTTGCACAGTTAAGTGTAAATTTATCTTACCTCATCTCTACAGTAAGGTAATATTAAAAGATAAAAAATATGCACACCATTTTAAAGTTAAAAAACTTGTTTCTCTTGCCACATTACGTGTCTCTTGCTACATTATGTACATTCGTAACGTAAATCAGTCTTGTCTGCTGTCATCAGAGCAATAGTACTGATGCAGATTGCGATCTAATTTTTGCAACGACGCCGAAGTCACCCGTGCGTCGCGTAATACCGTTTGGTTCTTTGTTCGCGATACACAACGGTCGTTGTATATAACATTGCGCGACAAATCGACCATTTGTCTTGCTAAGCGAAAAAAATCTATTCGCGTCAGAACGGCTTCCGCCGTGCTGCGCAACAAGAATGCAAACGCGTTGCTTTTCGATCTCTTTCGGCTCGCTATCGACGATGATGTTGCGTAAATTACCCTTCCGTCGCGAGAAACCCACGTGCATTTCAACGTGCGACCGCAAGCTGCAAACAGTCCCGGCGAATTGTGCCCCATTTCCTCAGATCCCACGTTTTACGCGACGTTTAACGTGACGTTTTACGGTTGTCGGAGGAAATAATAGGGAACTTTTGCGATACTTCGGATAGGGTGGACACCAAAGTACCGTATTCGATATATAAGATTACTGCGGCGCCGGTTTTACGTGAAATTTTATCTTGGACTTACGTGCTCTCCCCAATACATATTTTATATATGGTACCTATACACATATATTATACATGCCTTAAAAACGAAATGCAGTATAGTAAATGCTATTATAATCTTTATCTTTTAGAATGAACGTATATAATATGTGTATAATACATATAGTTTAATAGTATATGCATATTGTTTAAAATTGTATTAAAGGATGCTGGTTTTCTTGTCGTCTTAGACAGAGTCTTTGATCAAATTAGATGCGGCTCTTTAAATAATAGGTACGGTAAAAGTAGTACAATATATATGTATATATATAACATAATATTCCTATAAAACTATGAAAATTATGGCGTATAACAATTTGTTCTTCGCTTTCTTCATTCGTGCTACGTTTAATTTTATGATTACGATGCCGCGATCTAACCGTATTTGCTATTCCACATTATACACACGATTCCACGCAACATCAGTGTTTACTTTACAAAAAGCCCTTGTTATTGCAGTATAACGAGAACCACAGGGGAATACGAAGCAAGTTTAATACGAGTGCACATCAAATAAGACCTCACTTGCAATACTTGTACCCTTTGTCATTGTCCTGGCCGTTCCATTTTGGTGCCGCGTGATAAGTACGGTGCATCTCAGTATCGAACGTTAAGTAAATACCCCGGAGGATTCTCATAGCAAGAGTCGGTAACATCGTTGTTGTTTTCAGAAGTGTGAAAATAGAAGAAAATAGGACGGTGGATATTCCCGCCGAGTAGCCGCCAATATAGATATATCCTTGTTCGCAATCTCAACGTGTAGTCTTTTGTATCGAAATAAGCAAGTATTTGAAATCTCTTATCGTATCTCGACGATAGATATTTAAATAGTAAACACAGCGTGGCTTATAAAGCACGATGGGTGCAAGAATTTCCGATACTTTACTTTTGGCATTTATTTTTCTTACTTATCGTGCGGTAAGAAAAACAGCAGAAACGCGAGATGCCCATCACATTAGCGATCTGTAAAGGCAAACATTTACTTTTACGGATTACGTTCATTGCGTTCAAGTTCGGAATTCTGTATGCAACAATAGTAGCACAAATCACGTAGATATGTGTCCTCATAAGTGATAAAAGATTACAAGCGAATATTTTCAGACAAAATACACGCTGGCTCGCATAAACATTATTATCGTTAATTTAGAAATTAATCTAATAGAATACTGTTTCACTCGATGCTTTTCACCTTATTTGTGTGTTTTCACCCCTTGCGCTCTTAGGACAGATGTCTCGCTTTCATTAAAATCATTTGCCTTATTATCTTCAATAGAACTCAACTTTTTAATTGAAATTCATCAGCAACAATTTAATAAAAAGTCAACTAATGTCAAGCTGTTAAACAGCAGCAGAAACATGCCCTATATAATCATGTTATTCCGTCTTAATGAGATTGTGTGACATTTTCTAGAGCGTATTACTGTGTAGCTAGTCGTTAAATTTGTCGTTTCATTGAATTTATCGATTAAAATGTGCTAGAGAAAAATGTTTTAATAATCGGGTGAAGGAAAAAAGCAACGGCAACGATCCTATATTTTATGTAATTAGCTCCACGATCTCTTAATGGGATTGCGTGCCACTTCCTAGGAAACTACCACGCTTCCATAGCACACCCTTCGTCTTCATCAAGTTCTGACGTTCTTACCATTTCATACGATTGTTCTTGTCCCTGTAGAGAGAAAGACAACGAGCGTGAGTCTTCTCCCCTCAATGGGATTCGTGAGACGCTCGGCAAGCGCGTTTCGAGTGATCCTCAATCAGCGCGGTAGAATCGCAAGAACAAAGACCACGAACAGAATCCTTAGTAATGGCTCTGTACGCGATCTTCATCGCGTTAAATCTATCAGGGCACTGTTCTTGTGATCAGAAAGACCCTCTTCTGATTCCGATCGGCCGAACTGGAAAGATAAATTGCTCATTTTCACCTTCGTTCTTTCGTTTTCGTCAGTTCGTCTGGCTGTCTTCGTTTCAACATCCAATTCCGATGTCTCGATAACCTTTCCAGTATTTCTACCAATGTAAAATGTCGAGCGAAAGAGTCCGACGCGCTTGTGCCTCATTACAGCTGGATTTGCAAAGTCGTTTGTTAAATGTTACCGTACCGTGCATTCGCACATTTTTCTTTGAATTTTCCGCCCTTTTATCAGCGTAATCTTTGGGACAAAATGCAGAAAATGTGCGCAAAGCGCAAACCTCAGTAGCGGAGCTTTTCTGAATCGTTTCCCACTCGTGTGTATTTCCAATCTCGTGTGTATACGATAAATTTTCACGAAATATTTTAAATAGCAATTTTTTTTTAATTTATGGTTCAGTGACTATCTATAATAAAAAAGAATATTTCTCTACAGGCAATTCAAATCATTTAGAAAAAAATGTGACGATGTAGAGATATTAGAAATATTTAAATTAGTATCTGTTTTACAGAAATGTCTTACAATATGTAGCGTCGCGATACGCAACTCATAATTTTTAAGAGCTCAACAATATCAAAATCCTTTCTGAAACATGGATTTATAGG